GCTTTGCTGTAAAAATCTTGTTGTGTGCAGAGAGAGCACCCATGCAAACAAATCAGCCAAAAACTTCATACAGCTATATTGCTTTGTCCTTTTTCAAGCCAAAAAAAAAATATTCTGCCAAATATTTGGAAAATGATATCGGCATGCATTGTTTTCTTCTTAAATTAATAACCTTTATACTTTCATTTCTGTAATATATGTTCTTAATTAATTAGAAAATTCAACCAACAAATAAGTTAAACCCTTATTTTGCGCTACCACAAGAGCTAAGAGCAAATAGTACAAATGGTACAAATTTGCCAAAAAGACATAGATGCGACAAATCTTACATTACATGCAAGCAAAAACCATTACTAAAACTAGCGAGGCCACAACAACTTGCCGTAGCAAGATATCACGAGTGTGTGAAGCGGGGATATCACAAAAATTTAAAAACTAACTAATCTACCGCTTCAAAAAATATCCATAGCATTCATCGAAAGAGCCACCATAGTGATACAATATGAGGCATGTACTATATATTTAAGGGTCAGTCACATTTTGCATCCCATTTTGCATCCTTGTGGTTTAGGGCATTCAATATATATTTTGGCTCTAGCTTTTTGAAATCGAGGTGAATATGGTGAATATAATGATGAATATAGATATAGATTATGCCCCTCCACTTGTATAATGACATATAACGTATGTGCCTGTATTTTGGGCACACTAAAAACTCTCTTGAGAAATATGTACTCATAATCTTGGAGGTGATCTACGTATCAATTACGACAAACAAAACAATGGACTATAATATAGCATTATGAAAATGCTAGGAAAACCACATATTTAGATCACATTTATGGATCATATAATGTGTCACAAATATAGAATAAGCTCGTTAATTAAACACTTAAGTAATAATTCAATTATCAATATCCACATCATGTGATTTAGAAAATATAATTTAAATAAATGTTCTTCCTAATATTTCTCGTAGCATATCCTTATGCATGGCCTTAAGTCACAAAGGGCACCTAATGTTCTATTTAGAGTTGAGCAATCAACCGCACTGAGTCATTGATCTTGACCCAGATAACAAAATAAAAATTATACAAACCAAAAATTAAAAAATTATAAAAATAAATAAAAATAGAGGTCACGGGGTTGGTTGTAGGCATCGAAGATGACATAATTGTAATTACAGTGATGAGAAAAGAAAATAATTTGCAAAAGTTGCATGGAGCATAGCAAAGCAGAGAAACCTGGATCATATGCATCATATGTAAGTGTCCCTAGCTATGTGTGTCTTGTTCATCACATGTAAATTGGAACCTGCAAGGATCCTCCCAGAGATGGCAGAAATATTAAGACCAGATAGGTGTGTGTGTGTATCTGAATATATAATGTCTACATGTATATATATGTACAAGCAAAGCAAGAGAGATATCTCAGAAGGAAGGGTGTTTTCAACTACTAGGTTGCTGTCTTTTTGTAGATTTTGAATGCTGTTTCAAAGGCACAGATTGCTGCCTTTCTTAGTGTTCATGTCCTGTTTTGGCTATCAAATTTTCTTATGCCCCACAAGCTTAAGCAAAAGCCCCACAAAGATAGGAGACACTGTTGAGATTTTGGGTTGGAGATTGGAAAAGCAAAAGAGTAAAAAAATTTTAGCCACCTTGTAGAGAAAAGGAAAATTCTAGAATGAGACTACACATGGCATCAACCACAAGGTGAATGAACAACTAAAGGTGCGATTAGTGGTTCGGTAGATGAAGATTGAATATTCAATGATCTCAATGTATCTTCTGCTTTGGTCCATACTAGAAAAACTCTAAGAGAAACTGTTTTAGTGTAACGGCCAAATCGTCACATGATGATTCAGGTTAAGGAGGCGCTATTATATAAAATTACTAACAACTAGAATTTAAGTTTTATAATATAATACATGCATTTTTTGAGTTATAATGCATGATCTAGCTTTAAATTTGTGGCTTATGGAATTCCTAAGTTAACGACGTTTTATGAAATCATTTAATTTTTTGGAAGTTATATTGTAAGCCTTTATTTATTTTTTATTTTTTATTTATTTTTTTGTCTTTTCATATTTCTCACTTTAAATTGTAAGCCTATAAATACTTGTATTTGTAAAGAAGAAGGGGAGGTTGTTTTGAATTATCATATTGATATTTAAGTTGTAAACTCGTTTTTATGTACCTTTCTCTTGTTTAAGAGTCTCTGCAGCTTTGTTCTTTCTAGTGTCTAAGTCGTAAGCTGGTACTAGAACCAAAGTTATTAGGGTTTTTAGGTCTCTCCTCGCACTAGGAGATAGTAGACACTACATATCCATCATATCTATCATTTTAATTCGTTCTATCTGACTGCGCATGCATCACATGATGATTGGTGTATTGCTCTATAAGATATAGTATGAGTGAACGACACAATTGATATGACATGTGAATTAGTTGCATCACATGGTGCAGTTCGTGGATATGAATGATTGAACCTCACTGATATTTTGATGTGAGTTCCTTCAGTAAACACAGTGCTGTAGATAAAATATGTCCCATCCCCATATAAAATTCAGGAAAAGTAATCAACCTCCTTTATCCAGCTCATTACATAAAACAAAGCTGAACCCTAAACAAATGAGTTGAAAAGCCTGACTTCAGAATAGGATTTCCACTTGGCAGTTTTATACCCTTTATCTGCACCTCTTATCACGAGGTATGAAATCCGGTGCAGCTGTACGGTTCAATAGCTTTGTATCGGTGGATGTTGGTGAATAGTTGTGAGCCCCAGGGTCCTTAATGATGAACTCAATCCTGCTACCTGACCCTATACACAGCCCCTTGAGTACATCTCCTGTGCCCGAAAAATATCTGTGATCAAAGAAGCCAAAAATCCACCATAGTCAATTGCACAATGATATTCAGTTGGCATTCATAGTTTTTCATCTGTAGCCTGCATGTACCTCGATGCTCCGCTCCCAAGCATGAAGAAGGGCTGAGCAGCTAAAGAAAAAAATCATTGAATGTACATGGTAGTTCCGCCCTCGGAATTTTATCATCTAAAGATTCATTTGCTCTTAGTTGCTGCCACTTCTCTTTAGGTTGATCATATATACCACACCTGAACATTTTGTCCCCCCAACTTGACATGCTTATACAAGAAATATTGAACAAATTGATGGTATTAATCTTTTCTATTCAGCAAGCTCATCCAGGCATCCCCCTTTTTTTTTTCTACGAAATTCACATCTTGTAATACATAACGCAAATCTGGAATGTAACCCATGGATTTGAGCTTCACTCTCAGCTCTTCTAACTTTGCGTAAATATCATGCTTTTCAGAATGTTGTTGATCCCCTGCATAAAATTTGTGGATTCTACCATTCACAGAGATCCAACTACAGCCTGGTTCCTCTTTCACACCTCGGTCTCTCATCACATCTCTCAGACTAAGTCCATCTTCATAACTCCCTGTCCTGATATAAGTGTTGGATAGAAGAACACAGGTATCCGAGGATTCTGGTGTGACCGAAAGAATCTTCTCAGCTGCAATCTCCCCCAACTCAACATTTTCATGTACCCTACATGCTCCCAACAAAGTCTGCCAGACCATTGCATTGAGCTCAATTGGCTTCCTTTCTATGAACTCCATTGCATCATTAAGACGGCCTACACGACCTAAGAGATCAACAATACAAGCATAATGTTCCATCTTTGGCACCACCCCATATGATTTTTCCATTTGATGAATATGATTGAGGCCTTCTTTTACCATACCACGGTGGCTGCATGCAAACAGTACACACAATAGTCTCACATCATTGGCCTTCACACCCATCTGCTCCATTCTCTTAAAGAGTTCAAGGGCATCCTCGACAAGCCCATGTTGAGCATAGCCTGATATAATAGCAGTCCATGAAACTGTATCCGGTTCAGAAATCCTCTCAAAGACCTCTTGCGCCTCAGCTATATCACCTAACTTCCCGACTGCTTTTAAGACGCTGATGAGTGTATACAAATTCGGTGTGATTCCTTCTTTCTGCATTCTTAGAAATTGATCAAATGCTTCAGAATGAAGGCCATTTGATGTTAAACCTGAAATCATTGCAGTCCAGGAAACTTTATTATGTTCTGTCATGGTATTAAACATCCTACATGAATCCTCAACCTTCCGAACTTTGCATACATGTTAAGAAGCGATGTACTAACAAAAGTATCAGCAGCAAAGCCTCTTACAACAACCTGCCGCATGCACCATTTTTTCCCAATTCAGTACAATCTAACCCAATGCATGTCTGGACAGTCGCGGCAAATTTATCCGGTAAAATTCCACTGTCCACCATATCACAAAAGAACATAAACCCATCAAGAAAAATGCCGCTCTCTGTCGACCCAACGATCATTGACCATCCAAGAAAGTATGTTCCTCTGCGGCATTTCATCAAACACTCGACGAGCTGTGTCGAAATCTGAGCATTTCGAATAGGCATGAGCTACATGGTTCAACACCACCAACAAGTCCCCGTCCGAAAGCTCAGATTTTAAAACCAACCCATGAACAGCCTTTACATTCCGTACAGAACCCACGTCCTCACAACCACGCAGGATATCAATTAAGGGTTGAATTTGAAACCTTTTATGAGTACTGAGCTGGGAAATTTGCTTCCATTTGGTTTCTGGGTTGTTGGAGATGATTGAATTAAAGTTGAATTTTTAGTCTGCAAGAAATTAATTTGATATTCTTGTTAACAGAGAAAGAGATACCACAACAGCAACACAGATAGAGAGAGATGGAGTTGCTTACTTTGTTTGTGGAAGTTGAGGCGGGAAGAACCAGAGGATGAGCAGGTTGAGGAAAGCCCAGTTTGACGGGGACATCCATGGCCTTCCGTCGCAGTTAGCCGATTGTTGTATGCCAGTGAGAGGTGGTGAAGTTGCTGATGCTGCGGAGGCAGTGCGACCCAGAGGGAGTACGGTTATCGGAAACATCTTTTCCGAAGCCCACCAATAGAACTAAAAACAAAAGAAAAGAAAAACTCTTTAGCGAAGTAACGACGTCGTTCTCCCGCCATTCAGCCGTTAGGGTTTATAAACTCACTCCCTAAACCCACAGAGAAAGCAGCGCACTTCGGAACTCGGAACTCACAACGAGAGAGAAAAGCTATGGGGAAGAAAGCCAAGACCTCCAGGAAGGGAAAGAAGGCATGGAGGGCAAACATCAGCACCGATGACATCCACGACTTCTTCGAGCAGTCCACCAAGGACGCTCTCTCCGGCGGCTCTCTTGCCTCCGCCCCCGCCGAGTCCCTCTTCTTCGAAGACAAGTCCAAAGGTACCTCCTTTCTCCGCCACGGTGCTTTTATCTTCATGCCCTTTTGGGTTTTCCAAATTTCCCAATCATTCCCCTTTTCCTGCAATTGCAAGCTGGTTGACATTGAATTAATTGGGGTTCTAAGGACTTGTGAGGTGAATTGGTGCGGAAATTAGAATTTGTTTTCTTCTGGGGTTTTTGGTTTAAACTTTTCGAAATACGAAGCCAACGAATAAATGGAAGAGTTTTATTGGAATTTCACATTATAGTGTGTTGTAAATTTGATTGGTTTGCTGCATTTTCTGTTGAAAGAGCTTTCTTTAACTTCATGTGATGGTGAAACGAACTCTGATATTTTACGAAGAACTGTTTTTTTTCTTTTTTTGGGAAGAAAATGAGGGCCATTTTGCTTGGCGGGAAAGAGAATGGGAATCAGAGGGGTAGATTATCTAGATTATGCTTGGATTTGTATAGAATTTAGTCAATCTGTCGTTTAAAGCTCCGAATGAATCTCATTGTATTCAATCCGGGTTTGACTACTGTATAGAAATCTGGAGTGAGTCAAATAGGCACTGATTGATAAGTATACTTACGAGTTTGGTCCAGTTCAGTTCCTTTCTTTTGTTTTATGCTCTCTGTAATCTTACTTATTTTCTTTAGTTAGTGGAACTGAACTTGTGTGCTTTGGTCTAACCAGATCTTTCGGTGAAGAGGAAGATTGAAAAACATAGACAGAAAGTACTCCACGTTGAGAGCATGCTGCAGAAAAACCCATTTGTACAACCAGTACCTTCTTCGACCCTGAAGAAATCCAAGAAAGCACATAAAAAGGTTCCAGAACTGATGGATGGATCTGAATGGAGTCCGAAGGTCAGTTGTTATATGTAAAACTGCAGACGTTATCTAGTTCTAGCGGTTTTGTATTAATTTTAGTTTGAAATCTCACAGGGTTCTGTCTCGCATTCTGGCATGGCTGACTTATGGGGATATACGGGTTCCTCAACCTTAACATCCATTGCATTGTTTCCACTATTTTATTACTTTTTTTCTTCTTTTATTATACGGTTCTGTGCATTACATTGACTGTTTTAACTCATGCAGGTGACGACAACAAAAAAACCAAGAAGGTAAGGCTCGTCGTTTAAGTTCAAGAATATGATCATATTGTTGTTCATATTGGTTCTTGTCTGTTTCTGTAACTCTAATTCCACTAGTGGTAATGCGCTAAGATGCATCATGGATCACATCTTATCTAGGAGTCATATAGAATCCGAAGCAGCATTTGGCTGCTGTGTTATTGTTTGAATAGTCACAGTTTAAGCAAACATTCCATGGCTCTTAGTTGATAGATTTTATTGAATTTTTGAAGATGAAGAAGCCATCAATTATTCCTGCTGTAGAAGTTGAGCCTCCAGGATCCTCATTCAATCCCACATTTGAAAGTCATCAGGTAATTTCTTAATTATCTGCCATTTGGTACTATTTTTTTTTTTTGGTTAACATTTTAGCTTGTATGGCATAAAGTTCTCTCATCTTTGCCTCGTTTTCTCAATCCAGGAAACATTGGCTCATGCTGTTGCAGAAGAAATGGGGAAAGTCTATAAAAAAGAGCTAGGACCTCAACCGGTTCCTTTAACTGTTCCTGGGGAGGCTGTTGATGAAGAAGAAGTGAGTGTCTTTCGTTCCTTTCATTTTTGTCACAATAAACCAGATAGACATGGAGTCATAACGACAAATATTTTATGTTAGTTTAATTTTTTTTGTACATAACTGTGAACCTTACGGTACTAATCTACTTTATTAGATGTTTTTTCTCGAGGCAGATGAAGGCACCTGATGATGATATGAATCCAGATAACTTGGATGAGAATGGGGATGCTGCATCCGAGAAAAGGTGAGCCTGATTTTTTTTTTTTTTATATTGCTAATATTCTGTTCCATGCATTATAAGGCCATCAAAACTAAAATGCCACGATTCATGTTGCTTGAAAAAACATGGTGCAGGCCTTTAAAAACAAAGAGGGTGACAACAGTCATCTTAAATAAGAGAGCTAGGCGTAAAGAACAGCTTAAAAAGGAAGCACAAGCGAGAGAGGCCAAGAAGCTTTCTAAAGAAATTGATGGGTAATATACTTATACAACTTTTATCTCTAGAGTACGCTGGTGAAGATTACACTCTAATAATTGCTTTGTCCCTCGGTCACAGCTTACCAGATATCATTGAGGAAATAGCTAAAGTGGACGAGGAGAGGCATAAAAGACATCTTCGACGAGTTGTAGCTAAAGAAGAAAAACGAAAGTCATGTCCCCCACGATTGGGGAAGCATAAGTATGTCTTAAGCAATGCTTTCTCTCTCACACCTTTAGTATCATTTGTGTTTTTATCTACCTATTTGTAATCCTTCTATTACAGGTTCGAGCCTGCCCCGGTTCAAGTCCTCTTGACTGAAGAAATAACTGGATCCCTCCGTAAGCTAAAGGTACAATGCACTTTTCTTGCTTACAAAAAATTTCGTCATTTTCTTTTTCTGTGTTCAGACAAGACTAGAGGGAAGTCTAATTGCTTCTTTCATTTATTCCCAAAAGGGTTGTTCCACCCTTGTCAAGGATCGGTTCAAGAGCCTCGAAAAAAGAGGACTAATCCCGCCAAAACCGAACAAAAGGTTTGCCAACATTCTCGTCATCTCTTAAACCAGGTTTCTTTGGGGGTTCATTGGACTTTTTTGAACTTGTAAGTTTAATCAAACTTGTTATTTTTTTACCTTTCCTGCACAAACTTCAACAGGAAATAGAGATTTTTTTCTTGATCTGAAGCGTGGATCCGAAGTCATCTTTTCTTGTTCATGGATAATCAGTGGACTCCATATAGTGAGATAAGACTTTGTTGTTGCTGACTTCGTGTTGTAAGGAAATCAGCTACGGTGATCAGCAGATTTTGTCGACAGTCGAGCTCAAAAGTTTTGTAGTTATCTTAATCCTACTCCTTTTCTGTTTTTAATTCTGTATTTGTTGCCCAAATTCGTAGTTCAAAAATAGATCCAGTTGTAATCGACAAAAATATGTATGATGCCAGTGCCTTTTTGGTTTTTTGGTTACAAGGTGAATTAAATTAATGAGTTACATTAACCTCGTCGTACAAAAGATTTTTGGCTATCTTCAATTGTATATCTCTCGAGTCTCGTTACATGATGAGAGTCAATGGCATACACCAAAAATTGGAAAGAAAAAAAATAGAGGAGAATTATAATTTTGTAGAGGAATGTAAATGAAATATAAGAAATTACGGAATCAGTTATAGTTGGTTGGAGTAGTGTGATCCTTCTTTTGTCCTCAATTCAAATTTACTGTCTTCTACTATGCACATAAATTTGAATTCTCCTATTTGTACTTGGCACTTTGCACGTAAGCTAAAAACTTTATTTATTTTGTTTTTTCTACACGTAAGTTAAAATTTTTATTTCTTTTTCTTTTTTTAACAAAAGTTATTATTACACTAAGGATAATATGGCAGGCTAAGTCTCATAATAAGCTAATAATAATGTGGTTCAAATTAGCTTTTGGCGAGAATCAAACTTAAGATCTCTCACTTACAAGTGAAAATGAATATCATTAAATCGTAGTATTAAGTGAAAAGTTAAAAACTTTAATTAAAATTTAAGTATTAATTAAAATTAAAAATAGAAAAACTAATTAATTTTCTAAAATTAAAAAAAAAAAGGTTTAAAGAGAAAATAATTTTATTTTTGGATTGTTAAGTAAAAGGCCCATTGGATATAGACCCAAAAGTAACAGAACCCTTCGCCCTTTTACACTTTCCCGGGAGTCCAAAGACGGACCTGCTCTTCGGTTCCACCGCACCGAGCTTCGGAGGAGTCACCTCTTCGCACCATGCGCACGTTAGCATCCAAGCTCACCGCTGTAAGCTCCCTCTTCGAATTGGTTTCCGTCCAACATTCCGTTCCTCTTTTTCTTCATTCGAACTTCTCCGTTCTGATTGTGATGTGAAAATTTCTTGATCAGTATTCGAAGTATTACTGTACAAGAAGCCCGGTGCGCAATGCGCCGCCCCGCAATTTCTCAACTCACAACGGCAGAGGTAATTCGAATGTTTGCCCATCTCAAGATTTCATCTTTGATTCCGTAATTTTCTGTTTGGTTGATGAGAAAATGAAGGAAAATTGAGCTCTGGTATTGGATTGCAGATGAACTCTCCCTCGAAGAGGAAGCTGAAAGAAAAATTGGATGGATGTTGAAGCTGATATTTGCTGGGACTGCAACTTGCGTAGCTTACAACATCATGCCTTATATGGGTATTGTAATCTTTAGCTAATTTATCTTAATTTTTGTTTTTAATTTATGAATCAATAAGAAATTTGTCAGTTACTCGGTTTTTGCTTGATTTTACTCTTGTATTTTACTACATTTCCAGGGGATACTTTGTTGCAACAGTCCGTTTCGCTGTTGACGGTCAAGGATCCTTTGTTTAAGAGAATGGGGGCTTCTCGATTGGCTCAGTTTGCGGTTGATGGTAACTTTCGTAGCTCGATTTTCTTTTCTGTCAGTGTCTAATTTTGAGAAAGCTCATTCATTTAGATGTATACCTGGTTGCCTTGTTGGTAAAGCAATTCACTTTTGATATTGTAAAGCACACCTGGTAATGAATTACCATTTACAGTTTGCGCTGGAATCGTTTTCAGAAACTTTCTTGTGTTTGAGCTGCGTAACATATAAGTGCTCGTTTCATTTATCTGATCTCCAGCTGTGAAATCAGGTTGTAAATTTTATGTCTTCTCTTGATTTACAGATGAAAGGAGAATGAAAATTGTGGAGATGGGTGGTGCTCAAGAGCTCGTGAATATGTTGGGGGCCGCTAAAGATGACAGCACAAGGAAGGAGGCTTTGAAAGCTCTTACCGCTCTATCACCCTCAGGTCAGACATTTTCATTCACAGTTGGTACTACATGCGCCTATGTTTATACCTTGAAATTTTGTTAATTTTATAGAATTGGTGTGTATCAACTTAAATTCCGGGATGCTAAAGATACTGCCATCATACATTCCTGGTGGTAAAGTGTAGCCTTAAAACATTTGGAGATGCACGAAGCTTATATTGTATGCCCCATACATTAACGTATTGAAACAATATAGCTGTTGCTGAGAGTTTTCACCTGTAAGAGTAAAATTTTGACAGTTCTGTTTCAGCATTTGTTAAGAGTTTGTGATAGAAGTGTTTAGAAAACATTATACATGTTAACAAAATTAATTTTGTGATTCTGCAAAACGTTAACTTCCTAAAGCTGCTTTGGCATAATGTATTGGATACGATTATATTAATGCTGTGTTAATCAGTTCTCTCTTGTTGCTTTCAGTTGTTTAATCTATATTCTGTAACTGCAGATAAAGCTCTTGGAGCTTTGCACCAAGCTGGGGCAATCTCAGTTATCAGATCCACCCCTGATTCTTTGGAGAACGCTGAAATCGAGAAATACAAGTTGGGCTTACTCAGGAGATTTCAAGATCTGAGATACGATTTTCCAACCGCAGATGTTTCAAGGTCGTTAGATTCTTAATCTCCAATTATACGCTGCATCACATCCTCTTCAACGCCATGTATCGATTTGTAAGAACAGATGGGTATGCCCCGTATCTTCCCTTTTGTCCCTTAAACGTAGTAAACAGAGTTTGAATTCAGCAAATTGGCTTTAACTCATACGAATGATCACCTTTTTATTGCCTGTGCATTTGCATGCTAGCTAGTTTTAAGTTTATTTGTAGTTCTCCATAGATGTTTCACCCGTGCACAAACCCTATTTCGACATTAGAAAACCATTGCATATTCAAACAATAGTCGATGAAAAGGGATCTGTAAAATGCCGGAATTTGGTCATAATGCCGTTTGATTTATGTTTTTGGTACAAACTTAGAAACAATACACGAAAATACAAGCCACCTCAACGACAACAAAAATGGTGAAAACAAAAAAGGAAAATCAATTAGGACTTGTTCCCAAAAAAGTTATATACATTGGTGGAAATGGCAGTCGCACTTGTTACTACTGCCAGGACTACCATTACAGTTGCCATGATCCTGTCCCTTCTTGTAGATATGCCATGTACATCCCTGTAATTTCATAGAACAAAAAGATTGTCAAGTTCCAGAAGAGACCATGTGACCAATTGGTCGAGCGGCACTTTGTACTTTCTTGACGAGGGTCTGTTTGAAAATGCTTATATAAAAGGCATTTTCGTTCATAAGGGTCTTTGCTAGAAGTGCTATTACAAGTAACACATTGAAATCTTGATCAATTTCATGTGCTTCCTTAGAAAGCAACTCTAGAAAGTGCTTTTATGACCTGTAAAAACTTGTTTGTAAGCTTTTTTATTAGAAGTGCTTTTACAAGCATCGCATTGAAATCTTTATTATAATTCCACGTGCATCCTTAAAAAACAGCTCCAGAAGCACTTTCGACTATTTCAAAAGGAGTCCCAAACAGGTCCTAAGTTCAAATCTCATAGATGAGAGAGTTGTTAATAAAAAGAAAAGTAGAGAGAGTACCTTAGAACAATTGCAGCCGGGAAAATGAAGGCAAGGCAGACAGCAGAAGTTGATCCCAAAAACTGAAAAACGTACCAAATGTCTGGGAAGGCAATTGCAGCCAGGTAAGAGAAAACCAGCAGGCCAAGAGTGAGAAGCAGAAATCTCCTAGTATCTGTGGTCAAAAGCGGCTTTTTGGGGAAAAGCAGTTCATCCAAATTTACCCTCAGAGAAAAGTTCAAGAGAGGAAAAACCAACATCAGATGGAGGGCATAGCTTAATCTGACCACATCATTCAGCACTGCCCCCATTGCTGAATCCGAGCTTCTGTCAAAGTTCACAAGTATGTCAGCCATGATTGCATCCCCAAACAAAAGGTACCCAAACAGTCCAATGGAGAAGTAGATGGTTGCACATAGCACCAGTGAGATCCTGACCGCTGATATCATATCCGACGGCTTCCCAAGCTCAAACCCAATTGGGTGCACTTCATGAAGTCAATCAGAGTACGCAATGGTCAGAAAGTTTGAGATGTTAATGGTAAATTGACGTAGAACAAATAGCAAAATGGATCGAAGAGCAGCTTGACATGCACAAGTCCTTAGACCTGGGCACGTTCCAACATAGTGCAAACGTCTAGAAAATTAGGTATTTAGTGCGAAGTTTTAAGACGTTAACCCTATCTAGTGACAATTACCCTTGTGGAAATTCCCAACTCCGTCCTAGAATTCTTTGAATTCTCTTCGATCCTTTGTGTCATCTGTTGTACATCGTAAATTGTTACTTAAATTCTACATTTCTTACCATTGAAGTGAAAAGTGAAGGCTGTGACAATGACTGGGACGGCAGTGAAAAGGTCAAAGAAGGAGGTTTGTTTGCCCAAGCTTGGTACCAATCTTGGGGTGTTGGTTTTCCCTTCAAAGATTGCACAGATTGCCATGGCTGAACTTATGCCAACAAAAACCACAGCAAGAAGAACTGATATGGCCGAACTGAACCTCAGAGATTCTGCAAATCGACAAATAAATATTAGAAAATTTGCAAAAGAAAAACCCCTAAAATGTTAAAGATTTATCATGACAACCAAGTAAAAGTTGGGGCGACCCCAAGCCAACAAGGTCCGTTGTTTTGCCAGGATGGAAAGAGAGCGTTTACCGTACGCAGCCTTACAGGACTTTGCAAATAGCCTATTTTCACAATTCAAACCTCTGACCTTTAGGCCACAAAGGAACACCACAGTAAAAGTTCTATACAAATTTAACAAAAAAGGGTTTGTGTACTTTGGTAAATTTACTGACCTACTCGCTTTAACAAAACCAATGGCAGGAAAATGAAAATAAGTGTGAATAGGAGGGCAATATCACGGGAGTTCCACCAATGACTTCCAAACCACTCTTGCAGGACTCCTGAATGTCCTTCTCCTGCAGACCCATTTCCAGATAGAACATCCCCTGAAAAACAAACAAAAATAAATAAAAATTATCCTTTGAATTTACGTGAGTTAGGTTAGTCAACCAGAACCAGAACAACGTATCCATCCCAGTAACCAATTTGATTCGCGTCCCGATGGATGCGAGTAATTATTCGCGTCCCGATAAATGCGAAGTAGTTTAGAATATAGAATACTAAAAAAAAAAAACCTCTTGTTAAGCTATATTTAGATACAGAAAATGCCCTTAAAACCAAGAAAATTGTAGCTTACCAATTATAATCTGGTACATAATTAAGCACCCAAGATTAGTAATCATGACACATATTTGTGTGGCAACCGATCCCAACTGCCCAAAAGACTCCCTCATAACGCCGGAATACGTCGTGGATTCGCCGGAATGCGTGAACCTCATCAGGAACTCCACCGAGACGTCGGCCAGCAAAGCAATGATCACAATAAGCACAAAACCCGGTATCACACCAAGCACCTTGAGAGTTGCTGGTATGGACATAATTCCGGCTCCAATTATGCTCGTGGACACGTTGAACACCGCCCCGGACACCGACCCCCGCCTCACCGGCTTTCTGTCCGACAGAAGTGGGACGTGGGCTCCGGCTGCCGGCGACATTCCGATGGCTCCTCGGTTTTCTGCTAGAGAGAGTGTTTTGGGGTATGTTGTCTTTTTGTACATGAAAAGCTTTTAATATTTTTGTGTGTATATATAAATATGTGATGACTCCTTTGAGGGTTCGGTTTAATTTACCAAAATGCCGTTAATGTGCGAGTGTGGTTAATTTGTGGATGTTTAACGGAGGGTAGGATTGGAATTTTAGGTTAGTTTAGTTACAGCTTGGAGAGTTGTATTATTATTGGGTATCATGGTAGATGACGAAATTGTACTTGGATGGAAAAGTGGGTTATGTGCTTGATTTTGTTTAGTGAAAATATTTTGGGGGTTTTCAAATCGGATTTGGATCCTTTCCTGAGCTTAAGGAGAGGATCCTCCTGACCAACCAATGTGGACCGTTAGATTTTTATCTAACAGCTACAAACAGAAGAATTCCTTTAAAGTTATATTATTTATAGTCGTTGGATGAAAATCCAACAGCCCACACTGCTTGGTCAAGAGGATCCTCTCCTTGGGCTCAGGAGAGGATCCAGATCCTTTTAGATCAATGGTTTGGAGGGGGAGTCCTTATTGGCAAATTTTTCAACCAATCAATTAGGTTTTTTATTTTGTTTGGAAATGATCAGTTGATGGTTTCGTTGTGCTGTCTATCTTTATAGGGGTTGAGAAGATTCACAAAATCATTTCAACTCTCATGTCTACAATTGTGTAATTCACAGTGCTAGGAACCAAACTTAGGACGTGACGAGTGAGATACGGGCCTTGAATTCATCCCCAACACCTGGTGCATTTTTGCTCACCACCCTACTTATTATCATTAAATTAATTTAAATTTTAAGATTTGTGTCTATTAACCATATGTATCTCAAAATTTAAACTTATTCAATTGTAATAAAAAAAACGGTGAGTATCTTCATCACTTGAAGGTGGTGAGCAACATTATTCCGTTTATTTTAATTAATTTGCCTAAAATGAAATCTAATGCCTAGTTGCTCATATTTTTAGCCTTACTAGGAGCAATTTTGATTTAAAATTCAACAAGTGTGAAGCTTTAATCTTATATAATTTGCACGTTGATCGTGCCAAAACTTAGATGTGACAGAACAATTATTTTGGGTCGATCAGATTCTTCTTCTTTTTCCTTTTCCTTGTTCGAGAAAAAGGTTGATGCGACTTTTTCACACATGAAACATGAATTTGAATACGCATGTAGATAATTTCTAGCTTAAGTGGTTTAAGTGTTTATTCATTGGCTTTTTATATTAGCATCTCATAAAATATTGAATGCATTATATATTAAAATTTAATATTAAATGACTTATTTACCTAATTATGTAATGACAATTTTAACCTTATTAGGTTTTAAAAAATATAAAAATTTCTAAATACACTCCAAATCACTTTTAGCGTATTATTTATCTTCTCAACTATCAAAACATTCTCACCCTCCATTGTTGAATAAAACCCTAACCAATGAAACTACAAACATGTTGATTGAGAAAAATTGTTTTTGACGAATGAAACACGAAATCGATGTTTTGGAAGCTTCACATGAGGTAAGACTTCATATTTTTCATAGTTTTAGTGATTTCGATGACATCAATTATTATTTAATCTTGCGTTTGTTGCGTTATTTAAACTTCTATATTCATATTCATTTTTTAGGGATCACAATGAGAGTTTACATGAAATCTCCTTACCTTTGTCCGTCCAAGAAATTTTTTCTCCAATTTCTCAGTGTTTGGAAGTAATGGATACCAATATTTTCCAAGTGCTCCACACTGCAGAAATGAAGTTTGTGAAAGTCAAAACAAAAATTGCATACCACGAAGTTCAATCTAACAATGAAGTCATTGCTGATGTTACCCTACCTAGCAAATTATCATTTTGAAATCATTCGGCAAACTAGATGTTCAGAAGATTTGAAATCTTTCAGCAAACTGAACGTTCAAATAGTTAGATTCAATCCCTAAAAATTAAAAATGAGTGTTATAAGATTTGAGAAATATGGGGTGCATAGAAAATGTAGGGTGTATGTACAAAATATAAGATGTATATTGAGAACGTGGGGTGTGAGGGTATTATGGAAAAGTATGTAGGGTGTATTAAGATATTTTTTTAAGTGAAAAAGTAAATGTGGAGTGTATTAAATATGTAAGGTTTATTCAACAATTTGTGATGTGTTAATATAATAAGCCTTATTCGTTTTGTAACATTCAGAACAATTATCTCCTCTTCTTCTACATGCTCTCAAAAGAAATAACACATTTAGAAAACGTGTGATAACCAGTTCATCTGTAATAATACAGTTGGACGCCATATACTTTAAGTTATAATATTAAGTAAGTAATTTATATGTTATAATATAAGTGAATTAATTATATGTGACTGTGTTATAACATGATTTTTTTTTTCCCTTAAAAAATGGACCGGCTAGTTTCAAAGCCACGGTATTGCACCATTCTGAAGACTGAAAAGACTCATATAATTACTTTACCCTCACTTTAACCACCATTGTGTGATTCAACAACAATAATAATCAATTTAGGACAAGCATGTATGAAATGAAATCTTGCAAATTGGAAAGTATACGAGATGCAACAAACAAAAAGGGAAGTGGGGGTATGGAAAGTTTCGTGGATTAGGGGTCCCTTCACTTTCTATCATTTTATGAAACATGTGGATGCCACTTGAACGCATCAGATTGTTCATATTAATAAACGTGGTACATATAAATCAAGTAAAAATAAAAGTTTTCTCCTTTTACCATTGTAACACTAATTTTATTACTGTAACACTACATGCACTGCTTCAGAGTCGGACCTTTGAATTAATGTATCGTTAACTAGCTAGATCAATAACAATGACTTGTTTGGACTATAGGATAGGGGTCTTGAAACTTCTCAAACGCTAACTTGGGCAAACAATATGATATTTACAGATATACTTCTACAGTAGATTGTAAACTAATCTACAATGAGCTATAATTATCGACAACTTAAAATCCAACTCATTAGCTACAAATATGTGTAGTTTTTTTTTTCTTTCTTTTTTTTAATTTTATATATATCTTTGTGAGTCGAATGTGAAATTTCTCCAACCAAGGGAGGGCGTCAATGTCACTAACAGACTAATAGTAGGCTTGCTCGTAGCAACAACGCAAGATAAGCATGCCACTAATAGTAGGCTTGTTTCAAGAGCATGCTTTTCTTGATGTATTTGCTTTCTTGCTGTTTCTTTCTTAGCTGACGTGGAAGATAAAAAGATAAGACAAATAATTTTGTAAGATAATATATAAAAATGTATCAATATGCCCCCCCTTCACATCAGCATGTTCTTGTTCATATAGTCCCAAACAAATCCTCAAAGGAGTTATAATATACGGAAATTCTTACATAATATACGGAAATTCTTACATATAACCGGGATATATATCTTTCTCTTATTTATCACGTGGTGACTGAGATAGAGAGAGCGGAGTATTTCCGCGATTAGACCGAAGTTTTTCTCCATGAACTGAGTTGGTTAAGAATGAACATTCGTTGCACATGATGTATCAAAGTTGTTGCAGATTTTAATGACCAAATATAATTACAACAAATACAAATTTGACGAATTCAATAGTTTGATTTTTTGTGGCTTGCAAGAACCTATGCCCCTCATCTGCCAATTAGTTGTTCGAATTCATAAGATGGCTAACCTTTAGCAGAGTTATACAAAGTGGTGGATATTGCAATTGAGCTCGTCGCCACGGCCAAAATAATCACGAAAATCGCGATGATCTTGTCCCTCCTCGTTGATATACCGTGTCCATCCCTGTCGAGAAATTAGAAACGAAAATCAAGCTAGATTAGTCACAAAAGAAAGTAGTACGCATGCGCGCGGGATAGAGAAGGAAGATGGAGTTTGTACCTGAGGATGAGAGATGCCGGGAATATAAACGAGAGGAAAACAACGGTGGTGGATCCCATGAACTGAAAGAAATACCAAATGTTTGGGATGGCTATTGCCACAATGTATGTGAAGGAGAGCAGGAAAAGAGTGAGGGGCAGAAATCTTGAGGTGTCTTCGGCTAAAACAGGCCTATTTCGGAAGAGTAATTCATCTATGTTGGCCCTCAAGGAAAAGTTCATGATAGGAAACACGAAAAGGAGGTGAACTGCGTAGCTTAATCGAACAACGTCATTGATTATCTGTCCGGATGTGGAATCAGAAGTTTGATCGAAGTTTACTAGAATATCGTCCATTATTGAGTCACCAAAGAGTAGGTATCCGAAGAATCCGATAGAAAAGTAAATGACAACACTGATCAGGAGAGCAATCCGAGTAGCTGATCTCATATCAGATGGTTTGCCGAGCTCTGCTCGAATTGGATGAACTGCATTCATTCGCACACATGGCACATTAACCATCTTTCAGATTCAGAAAGTTGCATAAGATAGCTCATATATAGACAGCACAATTAAGACTGAAAGTCATGTGCCCTCACCGTTGACATGGAATCCGAAACCTGTCACAAGAACTGGGATGGTGGTGAAAAGATCAAACACCGAGACTTGATTTGCAAAGTCTGGAAACAACCTCGGTTTCTGAGTCTTCCCTTTGCACAACGCGTAAATTGCCATTGCAGAACATATGACAACAAAAAGCACTGCTAGCAGAATGGATACTGCCGAAGTGTGCCTTAGTGAATCTGTAATTAGGCAACAAGCAACGAACAAACTAGGGTAACCTGATTTAACATTTACCATTCAGCATCAACTATTTAATCCAAGTATACTGACCTACTCGGCGTAACAAGACTAACGGAAGCATCACGAAGACTGCAACGAAGAGCAGTGCCCAAGCGCGAGAATTCCACCAGTGGATGCCGAACCATTCTTGCAGAATGCCCAAATGCAACGTTCCTCCAGACTGACTCCCACACAGCACATCCCCTAAAACCAAGGCAAGAAACTTCTTTCATTACTGTGTTCAGTATACACATTAATTACATAGACTAATTGTAATTAAAATGGATAACAAAATGATTAATTCTTCAATGCAGAATTAAATACCAAGTCCGATAAAGATTACAAATTGTTATCTTTCGGTTGTGTCCTAAAATGAATGCTAAAGTGACAGTTCTCAAAGTTTGTTAAGTGTCATCGTGTATCTTAACTTGATCACATGATATAGCGTAATTGATTTGGAATACCGCTACTTTAGTGTTACAGTTGCATAAAAGATATGGGAAGTATGGGATAATTTCATGTCCCTATCAGACACCAAACCTCCATTATAATACAGCATGGTCCAGTTGGTCTTCTTGTTTTATTCTAAAGCACAACCCAAAACTAAAGGGAATATTTTTATGCGTATTTTTCCTTTTATCATATCAACAATATGGATGACAATACGTCTACGAAGCGGAAGTCCATTCCTTTATTAAACATCGGACTAACGATAAGCCATTGACAATGCACATTAAGATATTCGTTACATTGTGCTTTGGCATTTTTTAGATTGTCAGATATGATCAAAAACATGTAAAACTTGACAATATATCTATGTGAATATGTTAATAAAAATGTGCTAACGTGTTATCGATGCAACTTACATGATTCCATCAAATCCAAAAAAACTTTACAAATTCCTTACTTAGGGATAACGCAAAGGTGGCGAAGAAAGCTTTACTTACCGATGATGATGAAATAAATGATGAGGCAACCAAGGTTGGTGACAATGACACAAATCTGCACAGCCACCGAACCCCACGCCCCAAAAGACTCCCCCACCATGCCGGCGTACGTTTCAGACTCACCGGAGTTGGTGTACCTGAGCAGGAACTCCACCGTGACTTCCACAAAGAAAGCGACCAACAGTATCAGAAGCAAGCCAGGAATTACGCCGAGGACCTTGGTGGTTGCCGGAATCGACATGATACCGGCACCAATCATTGTGGTCGATATGTTGAAGACAGCCCCGGAAAATGAGGCCCCTTGTTGCGACGAAGTTTGAGCTTCCAAGGACTTGGGGTCCTGTAAGAGTGGAAGGGCAAGGACTTGAGCTCCTCCATTGGTGTCTTGTTGTTTCACCATCTTTTAATTTGGTCTTTGGGGAGGTGATGTTTTGGATGGGGAATATATAGTTGACAACTCTCGTGTTGTGAGATTTTTTTAGTGGGACCGCCTCAACCGGATCGGAACTCCCTCGACCGAATCCGACCTTACCGGAATCGGCTCGGGACCCGACGGTTTGATAACTCCGACGATGTTTACCAATCTCGAAATCAATACGAAAGAAAAAGATGAAGAAGATTAAAACCCTTGTTTTAAATTCCTTAATCTGTTGTATGTAAAACGTCAGCAGAAATTCTCACTTGTTTAAGTTAGTCAATGCAATGGAGGGAGGGAACAGCTTTCTTCGGGGTCACTTCGTTGTCAATAATCCCAGCAACCGCCGTCGAATCCCTCCATTTCTTGGTTCTTGCAGAAAGAAGATGAGCTTAATTTTGGGGTGTTGGGTTACTTTATCTATGGATCTCCAAGTAGTTGATGACCCCAAATATCTACCCAATAACAAAACTTTTTGAGATTGGGCCTCCATTATTCACATTTGGGCCGTGGTTCTTTTTCTTTTATTTTTTCAAATCCTTTTAGGAATTTTATTGTTAAATATTTAAAATGAGTAATTATTGTTTGGGTTAATATTTAACAGTAGGTTTTACAAGTGACAAGGCCCAAGAATGCCAAATTGAATGAAGACTCGCCCGAGGCCTGTTTGACCATGTGCCTATAATTGAAATGACAGATGACAGGGACCAACTTACTATTAGCCAAAAAACATTTTCTAGTGGTAATACAAGTAAATAGCTGATGACTCACTACTCACCAAGAGTTTTTGGGCAATAACAATGCCAAGGTAGTAGGGCCAAATCGCCTAGAAAAGGGGAAACAAGCACTAGAGACAATGACATTCAACCAACTAATCAAAAGACTTTCAAACTCTGCTCTCAAGCCAATTCGCACCCAGAAAAGCTGAAATTTGCCCAGATTCAGTCCTTTAAGCAATAATCCCCTTAGAAAAGTCATCTTTTGTTTAGTATAAAAGCTTTGCTACCCTCCATAGTGTTATAGTATCAATTTCTTCATGTAAAACCTGTTTACCATCCATTATTCTTTAGCATATAACGTCTATCAACTCAAAGATAAGCGGCTGCAAGAAGTTCGACCTTGTCCGACAAGGTGAAATCTTGCATGAGTCTCTTTGTTCGTCCTTTAATTTAGTAGATATGTCACTTAATGTACTTTTCAGCATGTATTCAAGTTATTACCAACTGTTTTCTACCTAAGAGTTTTATTTTCATTTGGATCTGGTTAAGTTAATAAACCTGTTTTCATTAAAAACAAACTGGGATTGAGGAAATGGTTCAAAGGGCCCTGAACTCCCTTCATTTTGAACATACAAGATTATAAACTAAAAGTCCTTGTTTACAAGGCAAGAAAAAGAACTTAATGCAAACCTAACCCATCTGCGACAATTATTTGATAACAAGAAGTTTGAGTAACTTGGGGCGCAGGTAATCGACTTAAAACACATTTGTTCAACATCTATTATACTGAGATAACAGTGGCACTCTTAGCACTTTGTTAGTTTGATTACGAGCCTCAAGGCTTATACCTAAGGCCTCACAAACGCACCTTTCAAACTAACGTTAAACTCTTCTCACAACATACTAAGCAACAAGAACTCAATCAACAACAACCTTCATCCAAAGTGCCAAACCACTGGGGAGCTGTGCGAGGGGCCATCCTTTTGCCTCGAACAATTATTATAATTTTTTTTTAGCAAATGATATTATTTACATTAAAAGAAGGATAATAATTTTAACATTACAATAAATTAGTAATAATATGATTCAAATTTATTTTTAATGATAATACAACACTAAATGACATAATTATTACCATTTTTGAGCGAAAATATAACGAGACGAATAATCGTCCAAGATAACAAGCGTGACCAACCTTTCGTCTTCCGTGACTCCGTCCCTGAAAGAAACCTTCTAGAACTTTCTTGGACAAAGATTATTTCCCACCGCAACTTCTGTTTTACCTTTCCCCCTAAGCCTCCATCTCCAGAGCTCAGAAAAACTCGGAAAAAAAAAATTTGAAAAACAATGGGCGATCAGTTAGCCAGGGCGGAGGAATTCGAGAAGAAAGCAGAGAAGAAACTGAACAGCTGGGGATTTTTCGGGTCCAAACATGAAGACGCCGCCGAACTCTTCGACAAATCTGCCAATTCCTACAAGCTTGCCAAATCCTGTGAGTTTTCCCCGTTCTGCGTTCCTTCCGATCGTTTGATTTTTTTTTTCATTGGGTTTATTGGTGTGTTTTTTTCCCGAGAAAATTTGATTGGAAGGAAAATGAAAAAATTGATAATTGGGGATCTCTTATTGGGGGTTTTGATGTTTTGGTATCTGCGGCGATTGCATTGATTCAATCATGGGTTTGATCGATGAATGTGGATTTTCCCCTTTTTTTTACAGTTTTTTTTTATGTAGTGCAAATTTTCGAATTCTTCGATCTGGTGAAAAATTCTGTTAAATATTGAATTTTATGGTTTGCCTGATCTCCTTTTGCTGGAAAGGATTGAACTTTGTTTGAATTGGAGGTCTTGAGTTGAATGATATGAACAATGAATGGAGCGGCGCTCAGATGAATAGGCTTATTGGTGTAAGCCGTGTTGGATTTTGTTTTGGATTTACTGTTTGAAAGTTGGATTGGGTTGTTTAAATGTTTTAAATTTTGGTAGCAGCAAGCAAATTCCAAACTTTTCCTAAGAGAAGATAGATATAAATCTACAAATGGTGTTCAATTTACAACTAGTTCCTACTTAGTATCGGCGTTTTCTTTTTGCAATTTTATGAAAAGGATGAAATTGGGATATGGATCCTTACAATTGATGGGCATGGAAAACCGTACGGTTCACATGTATTTGTTGTAATATCAATATGATGGAACTGATGCCTCGTTCTCTAACAGATAAATCTCATATTGTTTGTTCCTGTGGTGGCTATTTGAAATACAAAATTTACAGTATTTTTGAGTTGCTTGAAACAAGATCTTGTCAGTGACCACTTCAATTGCTTCTAATCTTTACAAAATGGTGTTTCAGGGGACAAAGCTGGAGCAACATATGTCAAGTTGGCCAACTGTCATTTAAAGGTTAGTGGTTTTGATGTTTCGACTAGGCAATTTCTTTCATTTTTAATGTTTTTAACAAAACCTGATAGCAATGTTTTTCCATTATAGAGTGAAAGCAAACATGAAGCCGCCACAGCTTATGTTGATGCTGCACATTGCTACAAGAAAACAAATGTTAACGGTATGTATATGTATTATGTTGCATCTTACATATATGCTTCCTCACTGACCACAAAGTCCTGGAAGGGGAAATAATCATCTGGGAAATGAAGAGAATCAGCCAAACTGTTTGCTTTGTCTTTCATTTCCGCAAAAGAGATGGATCACAGAGAGAACTTCAGTCTGGAATCTCATCTTGGATACATCACATAAAGTCAAGTTTTTTACGTTAGCAATACAGAACTTGTTATATTAGTGCACCATAAGTAGCAGATCTTTTGGAAGAAATACCTTTGTTAGGCAAACAGTTTAAATCAAACTAAGCAACTTGGGTACAACGGCTGGTAGTGTTACTACTTTTACCTTGGTTTATCTTATTGTAATATGGTAGTAGTACTTTTGTGGTATGAATATTTTTTTGGTCCAGTTACGGTATAACACCATTTCTACTTGCATTTCATTCCCATTTATATCCTTCTTGTTCCATTGTGTTCATTTCTGATTAGGATAATTTTAATTGTAATCTGTAATTCATTCTGGTCTTCTGCAGAGGCCATTTCTTGCTTAGAGCAGGCGGTAAACATGCTGTGTGATATTGGAAGGCTTAATATGGCTGCAAGATACTATAAGGTATTGTTTTTCCAGCTATATAAGAATCAATCTTTTGTTTAAAGATGATATTTTAAATTTCTTCTTGCAATTGTGTGCTTTAATTTGGTGTCTCATTTGTAAGTTCTCAATATGCTGTTCCCTTTGTCATTCTACCATTGTTTGTAATACTATGCAGATAAGAGAAACAGTAAAGACATGTACATTGTAGCCGTGTAAGTTCACCCATAAACAAAGAGGATTAGTTAACATAGAAGGTAGAAGATCAAAGAAGCTGTCAAAGACTAACATGGGATCAGTTACGAACAGATCCAAAATATTAATTTGATAGGAGATAAGAGTGTGTAATAGTAAAATAATGGAAGGTGAGAATTCGTGTCTAACCCCATATATAGGGAGAAGGGGAGAAGGGCGGGGTGTGATGACAATAATTAATTCAAGCATTCATCTTTTGTACTCTTGGCATTGATGCTTTTCTTGCTGAATGCAAACGTAGTATATGATACTATGGAAACCAGAGGAGTCATTATTCGACATGGGATACATATTTTCCATGCAGGAAATTGCTGAACTATATGAATCTGAACAAGATATTAAGAAGGCTATGGAGTTCTTTGAAAGGGCAGCTGATTTCTTCCAAAATGAAGAAGTAACAACATCGGCCAACCAGTGCAAGCAGAAAGTTGCTCAGTTTGCTGCACAGATTGAACAGTAAGTCTCTCCCCACCATTTAATAGCAAAAACATTGTGTATTCTTGCCACTTTCCAGCATTACTTGGGGATTTCATTTTATTTAAAACCTTGTCTAGTTTAAAAGGGGTACTCATACTTTTGATAACACAAACATCTTGTGTACATTCTTTGCTTTTACGGCTTTACTTTTTCTTTTCTTTTTTTAATTAGAACCTTGTAGTTTTCTATCTTGGTTCCCATACTCGATACAAAGCTATAACCTACTCCAAATCACAGAGAAGGTAATAGCAGAAAGCTTGAAACGCTTTTTTTGCTTATGCTTATCTAGGAGACCTCTTTATAGCTTCTCATTGACACAAATGCTGGTAAATAACCGACAAATATGTTATATTCTGCAGGTACCCCAAGTCTATTGAAATTTATGAAGAAATTGCACGGCACTCACTCAACAACAACTTGCTTAAGTATGGAGTTAAGGGGCATCTTCTTAATGCTGGAATCTGCCAACTTTGCAAAGGAGATGTCGTTGCAATCACCAATGCATTAGAGCGATATCAGGTCTGAGTTTGGCTCTTGTTTAGGATTTTGATATTGCATACCTTATCAGTTGAAAAAATGACATGCTTTTTTGTACTTTTGCAGGAATTAGATCCTACTTTTTCAGGAACAAGGGAATACAGGTTCTTAGCGGTGAGTTACTATTATATTGGAAGTATTTTCGGTTTAATGATGTTTAGTTGTTTCATGTTGATTGATTAAAAAACATGAAAACAGCACTTAACAAGGTAGTAATTTTGAGAAAGTCATCGTCGTGTTTTATGCAGGATATTGCCGCTTCAATTGATGAGGAAGACATTGCGAAGTTCACTGACGTGGTCAAGGAATTTGATAGTATGACCCCACTGGTACGTCTCTTCCATTCGATGTTACGCGTTCAAGTTCAATAAACACCTATTGCATTCTCTGTGTTTTCTTTGCCATCGGTATACCTACTCAAATTCGATATTTTGATGTTCGGTGTTGGATTTCCCATGTAGGATTCATGGAAGACAACCTTGCTGCTGAGAGTGAAGGAAAAGCTGAAGTCCAAGGAACTCGAGGAGGACGATCTTACCTGAGTTGAAAAATTATGAAATGATGTTTGTGTGGTTTCTCCATTTGTAAGATTCGGTTTTTATATTACGCGTACATCGTTCCGTTACACTTCATTGACAATGTGTTGGAACTAAATTGTAGTTGATTTGGGATTTAATCACTGTGTTTTCGACTTTAATTGATCTCTGTGAGTCCGCCGGATTGTAATTTGTGTGTATATTCAAACCACTGTATGAATTGGGTTTGCTTCTAAAATGCATGGGGTTCTATTGATGCACCACTCTTCACTTTAACCCTTGTGTCAACCTGTCCATTACATGAGCATCGCTTGGTTTAACTTTATATATATTATTCATCCTTTTGGTTATTGGATTGAATGGAATCAACCGAAAATAACGAACATGATTAAACAAATGTATAGGAAAAGAATATAGTGCAAATCGGAATTTTGATTTCTATCCGATTTGTACTCATGACATGACAAACGGCTCCGATGGGAGGGAGTCTCTGTGCTGTCTGCATGTTATTTTAGATTGTATTATTAATCTAGAATGTCACTGTGGTATCTCAACAGTGCAACTAAGTCTTCCTCGTTTATTGGGTATGCATTACTTGCAATATTATCTATTTGCCCTTTTGCACGCGAGCTTTTCCTACCCTCGCATATGATTTGACCCAAAACCTTGTCCTTATTATTTCCCGACAAAGAGTGAAATTCTAAACCATTTTAATACATAAATTAATGCATCTTTCTAATCAACCAGTCTAATTCACGTCGTGGTTCTCCACCAAAACCTCAAAGACAAAGTATTAAAGTAAAAGCCGCGTTCTCAGTCATTTTCGCCGTGTCAAATTTCAGCAATGGATGAGTCCCACCCTTTCAAGTTCCACTTTTCTTGCCATCTCTCCATTTTGGATAACTTGATGGTTCTTCTACCTATAAGATATGACTCCAATGTCCGCCACTTGATTTTTCATCTTGTCCTTTTTCTTTAATTTCTATATTTTAATCAACCGATGATTGACCACGCACTTAATATTTATCGTAAAAAGGACAAATAATGAAAAAAAATTCGAAAACTTTTATCAACAAACAAATATTCCTAACTTCTAATCCAATCACACTCTTCCACGCACCACAATAATTTCCCACCTTCCAGCGCGAATACACACAGCAAACACAACATGGTTTTTACTTATTTTATTTAATTGCATTACTTGCCCCCGGAGTACTGCTTTTCAAAGCCTTCAGCTTTGACCTCCGTCAGAGGGAAACTTCATCAAACGACGCAGTCCTTGGCCAGCAATTCGTGCGGCGGTCGCCGTTTTGCAGATTGTCTCCCCGAGCCGGTCTCCGCCAACCGCTTTCCAAAGTTTGACCCTTTTGTAACTTGCAAAATCTTTTGGCGGTTTGTCGTTATTGGAAACTTGAGCGACCCCTATTTCTGTTTCAATGGAGGGTCTTTGATTCTTTACAAAAGAACAAGTCTTCAGGGGAAAAAGAAAAACTTTGAAAAGTTACAGTCATGGCTTCTTCTGGTTTCTCCGCCATTATTTAGGTATGTCTTGAGCACCGCCTTTTTACTTGCATAAAGTTAGTTTGATTCGTTTTTCTGGGCATCGATAATTTTCTTTTCTTTTTTTTAATTAAACTGTGTAATTTAACTTTCTGGGTGCCTTTCAATTGTACATCTGACCACTGTTTTGATGAAAATATGGGTTTTTTTTAAATTAGTTTCTGGATTTTTGAAGTATGATGATTTTTTTTACCTTGCAAAATCATGGGTCTTGATTAATATGTTGATGATTAGCTAATAGCTAATGAGGGTTTACTGTGGCAGCCTCTTGTTCTTTGTATATCATGAGCTTTTGATCATATTTTGTGTTTTTATGAATTGGGTTTAATTCTGTATGTGAAATTTCAGTCCTGGTTAATGGTTTTGGTTCTTTTGGGTTGCTTCCTGGAGATTGAAAGTCTTCTGTTTCAATGTTTTTATTTATTTTTTTTAACTTGTAGATTCCTTGCTTCTCTTCTTTCCGATAATGCTTTTAGTTGTGTATACTAGAAATCACATTCAATGTATTGATTTGTGTTCAAATTTTAACCTCAGTGGAAACGTTGAAGAAAGAGTGCGCATTGCGAAATTGATTTCACAACCCTGAATCTCTGACACCGATTGGAAGAAAATTGTTCTTTGATTTGAGAATGGTTTCGACTGATAATGGAAACCACAATGAGGAAATTGAAGAATCGAATGGTAGTGAAGTGATGGGTCAAATCCCCTTTGAGGTTTCAGCATCCCGGAAGACTTTTTTAACCAATGAGAAGTCTCCGAAAAGGTTCCCTCCTGATGCTCCTCTTAATAGAGTTAGTTTCTTCAAATTTGGCTCTGCATCTGCCAGGTTCAAGCGGTTGGCTGAGGAGAGAGATGAAATGTCACGATCTGTGGCTTCAAGTGGCCATGGCTTTAAAGAACGAATCCATGAGGTTTTTTCTAAGAAAATTGATTGGGTTTCACTCGTGAAAATGGGCAAAAAATGGATTAGAAACCCAATGAACATGGCTCTTTTTGCGTGGATCGTCTGTGTTGCTGTTTCGGGTGCAATTTTGTTCCTTGTGATGACTGGAATGTTGGACAAGGCAATACCCAAGAAGTCCCAGAGAGATGCATGGTTTGAAGTCAATAATCAAATTCTCAATGCACTTTTTACTCTTTTGTGTTTGTACAACCATCCGAAGCGATTCTACCACCTTGTACTTCTGTGTAGATGGAAACCAGAAGATATTTCCAGACTTCGAAAGGTTTACTGTAAAAATGGGACTTATAAGCCCCATGAATGGGCCCACATGATGGTTGTTGTTGCCCTGCTTCATCTGAATTGCTTTGCTCAGTATGCACTTTGTAGTTTAAACCTGGGTTACAGAAGAGCTCAACGACCACCGATAGGAGTTGCAATATGTGTATCTTTTGCTATTGGTGCACCTGCATTTGCTGGCATATACAACATTGTCAGCCCCCTCGGGAAGGATTATGATTTAGAAGTGGATGAGGAAGCACAGGTTCCAATCGGCACTGGTGAAGGAGCAGAAAAATTAAGGTCAAAAACATTTGAGAGAAAATATTCTTTTGCATTTAGGACTGAACAACGAGTCGTTGAGAGTAAACCACAATGGAGCGGAGGAGTACTTGACATTTGGGATGATATTTCTATAGCGTATGTTTCACTCTTTTGTAGTTTTTGTGTGTTCGGGTGGAATATGGAGAGGCTTGGATTCGGGAACATGTATGTTCATATTATGACATTTATTCTGTTTTGCCTAGCTCCGTTCTGGATTTTTAACTTGGCTGCTGTTAATATCGACAATGACACTGTTCGGGGGGCTCTTGGAGTTACTGGCCTAGTTCTATGTCTATTTGGTTTGCTCTATGGTGGCTTTTGGAGGATCCAAATGAGAAAGAGATTCAATTTGCCTTCTTATAACTTCTGCTTTGGTAAACCATCACTCTCTGATTGCACGTTGTGGCTTTGCTGTAGTTGGTGCTCTCTTGCTCAGGAAGTGAGGACCGGGAATTCCTATGACGTTGTGGAAGAAAAGTTTTATAGAAAACAACAGGAAAGTGAAAGCCTTCCACCAATTTCACCTTTGCCTCGTGAAGATGGATCGCTTGAGTTTAGATCTGGTCCGAATTCTCCTCTGGGGAACTACTTAAGCCCAACCAAGAATGGCATCGGTAGTTCTCTGAGTCCAAGCAGACTTTCAGCAGTGAAAGAAGAGTCCCATGTAAGAGGTAAGGATGAAACTATGACCCCACCTGCACCTTCATTGATACAAGGAAGAAACATAGCCCCAAAAACTAAGATAACGTTATGATTTGTGTATGAATTTCTGTAGTATAATTTTGAAACAAGTTTCTTTTCTTTGTGTTCAAGTGCATAAATGTTTTTCGTTCTTCAGTTTCTTTTTCACTTTTAGCTAACTTGTGATCGTTGATAGCTTAATAGCACTTGAGAAATTATCTACTCTATTATTACTACCGAGCAATATTTCTTTTCTGAGAGATGTAGTTGCCCATTTCTCTCTTTCTATTATTTTATCTGACTTAGGACTCTTAAGTTGCCTGTGTTTGAATCAGTAATTCTCTTTTGATTCTATTGAGATAGAAACATCTGATTTAAACTCCTGTCAAGTTAGCTGTATTTGTCGTCGAGTTTCTGAAAATGGTAGGGCTGCTTAGACGTTTTGATGACATTTACATGGTTTTGTAAAAGCCTCATCGACTTCAGAGCTCATCTTTCTTATTCCATTACCATAACTGATGCTTGCTTTTTAGCTCCTTAAGTATTGAGTTCAGGTGGTTCCACCTTCAGGGGCTTGGGTTAGCAATGAAATAGATGAATTATAGCTTCAGTTACTACAAGAAGTAATCTTAAAGGTTAAGACGAGTTAACATGTAAATGTGAACGAGTAATAGCTTGAAGCTTCTTCTCTTTCAGCCCAATCGTACAATTTATAGAGGATGTTTGTCGTAGGAAGATGTCCCAAGTGGTACATTTCTTCCTAACGTTGGAAGATGTCCCAAGTTCGAATGTTAGGTAAGGAGACTGATAAGTTAGTTTCTCGCACTTCCATTTTCTCGTTCTATACTCCTCTCGTTTATTTGTCTCTTGATTCTATTTGCACAAGTTGGTGGCGTGTGGTAGTACTAGTGAGAACTTTATCTCTGTGTTGGAGCTGCCAAAAGTGGCCCTGAAGGCCGGTACCGAAAGCGTTACCATTTTAGTTAATCCTATAGCTTAGGGGAAGTAAACTATGTTTTCGTTAAGAAGCATTGCTTGGCTAATTACAATTCGGGAAGAAAAACTTGAGTAGGGCAACATGACTAGCTGGATGATCATATATTCTTATAAAAGAGCAGGCCCACTGTATTTGGGCACCATCCAAACTCACGTAGATACAACTCTCAATGGACAAGGTTCCATTCGTGCGAGAGTGGCCTGACCAACTCGTTTTTCATGTTTTGGAAATACATGTTCCTTTCAAATATCAAATACAAGAGTTTTGCTCGTTTAGTCACTAACTCTTGAATTTCATATCAATGATTGAGATTAAAACATTAATAATGCATCCACTTATTCTTCACCTGTTAAAGGATAAAGAGAAAATTGGACATGTTTAGGTAAGTAATGAAGAAGTCCAATAAGAGTTTCAAAATGAAAACTAATAAAAATGGTTTGAAAATTTTGAGTTTTAACGAAGGACAAAAGAAAAGGTAAAATAAATAGTATCATGATTGACTTTTTAGTGTAAAAATGGATTTTTCGTTAAAGTAAACAGTATTAAAAACTTTTCGTTAAAATTCTCTAGTTTTAAATCCTCTGTATTAACCACAAAGTTTTGTTCCACTTGGCTGAGAATCATAATCCACTTGACAAGAATATAAATATCATAATCCACTTTCCTTGAAAGCACAACTAGTGCCGGTCTTGTCGCTTTTACCCGCAGTGGCCTTCCAAACTATTTACCTGCGGTGGCATCCTTTGCGACATGCCGATGAGTCATCGTCACTTGTATTTGCCTTTCAACTTCTTCTTTACTGTGAACCTGCTGTTTTCAAAGAGTGCATGATTAGAAATGTATGCACATTGGTAAACTTGGAGCTGTTCAAGCCAGAGACAGATGCACCTTGGGACAAGGTGGGTCAACTGACGCTTTCAAATTCAAAAAAAAATTCATGGAAGAATTGGGGTTGCCCTTTGAAAATGTGAGATATCCTTGAAAGTCGCCCTTAATCAAATCGAGTTTGAAAAAAAAGAGTGTGAGACTGTAGGTAAATTACCTCGACAACTAATCTAAAAGCTGTTTGGTTTCATCGACTGTTTTTTTGTTATATTGGAAGGTTTCGAAACTTAAACCTAACATACTTTTACCCATGACCCTAGAAACATTTCAATTTCAACTAAACTTTGTAAGTGATGGATTGTTCTGCATTCTAAGTTCAAACTTTTTTGGTAGTGTAAACTAAAGTAATAATATAATTTATTAAAAAAAAAATTAATTTTGAAAAAGGGCGAGTTTATCAACAAAAACAACCTTTTTTTTAAAACGATAGATTTGTCGGATTAGGAAGCCTACATAGTTCGAATGCACGTTGTGATGCAAGGACAACATTCTTCTTCACCATTATAGTAAAGAGCCATTTGCAAAAATAAATTTAAGGAAAACTAATGAAAGAGGTTTGAAAACTTTGAGTTTTAACAATAAGGACAAAATAAAGAATAAAGTGAATAGTACAAAGATTGACTTTTTAGTGTAAAAATATGATTTTTCGTTAAAATGAACAGTACTGGAAAGTTTTTCGTTAAAGCTCTCTAAATTTCATTCATAATGAACAATTTTTCTAGAATATAACAAAGCATCGATTACTTAAAAGATATAAATCACACAATTATAAATTCAAAAATTTACGTTTAGTAACCCACGAAGCCAATAGCGTAGAGAAATTAAACAGACTTTAGAGCCACCGATACATTAACGGAGTAACGGAACTAGGTGGGTCCCGAACGGAAAGAGAAGAAACAGGTGGCGCCAAAATGGTCAAGAAAAGTTGGCTCGACTGCTTCCTTCCCTCACCTTCCTCTCTCCCTGGCGATGCGCGTGCCTGAAAATTAAGGGCCACTCCATCGCATGCCAGCTGTTCCTCACCACAAAGCCTATAAGAGCACGCCACGTCATTCATACCCCCTATCTTATCCCCAACAATAGGACCCGGATCTTCGTTGGATTCTTTTTATGAAAATCCAAGGATTCGTCAATCATAATCATTCATTGTACATTGTGCGATTAAAAATTATTTTAAATATTTTTATTTAAAATTAAACATAAATTTTATTTGATAAAAACTAACTGCACAACGATGAATGAACACGATTCACGTATATCTGATCCTCAACAAAAAATCAGGAGAGGATCCTGTTGGCCTACGATAAGGTTGGATTTTCGTTGTCATGTCCGCGTAATTGGCGGGAAAAGGGCCATACTCCCCTGGCACCTCCACCATCCACCAGCTATAAAACCCCACCTTCATTTCCTTACCAGAGATCCCACTTCACATTTCCTCCCAATTCCATCTCTCTTTCCAAAACCTCCACTTTCTCTCTCTAAAACCCTTACTTTCTCGCTCTAAACCCGCTACAGAGGCCTAGGCAAGAACTGGCTAACTCTCTGGAAGCTCTGGAAGACGCTGAGTCCAGCAATCGAAGGGTGGTGCTCGCCCTTTATGACGCCCTGAGCTCCCGCGACGTCGACACGGTGCTCCAGATCGTCGCCCCCGACCTCGAGTGGTGGTTCCATGGTCCGCCGACCCACCAGTTCTTGATGCGCCTCCTCACCGGCTCCCAAAACGAATCGTTTCAGTTCGTCCCCGAGTCCATCGCCTCCTTCGGCCCCACCGTCCTCGTCGAGGGCTGCGACCGCGACTGCTCCATTTCCTGGGTCCACGCCTGGACCGTCGCCAGTGGTGTAGTCACCGGCGTCCGCGAGTACTTCAACACTACCCTCACTGTCACGCGCCTCGGAAACAACAGCCACAGAAACTCTCCCGCCTCCTCCGATAAATCCTCGTCCGGGTTTTCCTACAAGTCGTCGTCGTCGGCGGCCGAGATTACCTCGTTCCATCTCCCGTCGGTTTGGGAGAGCAGCGTCTCCAATCGGGCCGGGAAGTCCATGCCGGGTCTGGTCCTCGCAATCTAAAAAGCCATAATCCCCTGCGGTCCTGTGCAGTGGAGTCTAGTACTACTAAATAAGCGGGAGCTGAGGTGTCATAGCCTCATTGGCTGCCTATTACTCGCTATGAGCTGAAGTCCTACTGTACTCTTTTTCGCTTTTTGCCTTTTTCTTCTTTTTTTTCTTCTGAAAGTTAGATTGTGTGTGGTGTAACCATGGGGTCGAGGTCCTTTTGGTCATATCTGGACGCGGCTGTAGCGGTGTTATGGTACTCTTCTATTTCAATAAAGACGTGTTTGCTTAATAATCTTTGGAGCTTTTTCGATTTTTATACTAATACTAATATGAATAGACAAAATAAAAGTAAACTTTAACGATAAGTTTTCGTACTGTTTATCTTAACGAAAAAACATAATTTAACGATAAAAAATTAATTTTTGTATTATTCACTTTATCTTTTATTTTGTCATTTTCGTTAAAACTCAAAGTTTTCAAATCTTTTTCATAAATTTTCCTTAAATAAAATGGGAAAAGAAGAAGTAGATATTAAGGTAGATTTGGCGTGTAGGACTAAGCCAAGTTTATTGAAAAGAAAAACCTTAAGGAGTTTTTTAAAGCGAAATTCTTATTATCTGTACCTCGTAATTTAACATTAATCTTAATGCAAATGTTATAAAATATTATGCTTATTTAACGTTAATTTATATGTCAACATTATAAAATACTGCTTTAGCCCTCCCTTGTCAACAACGATACTTCGGATCTAAGTTTTGGAATCGGATCGGTGAAGCAAGTGTCCTTCCCATCAATGACAAAACCAATCAATCAAACAAAGTAATATGCTTTTGGGTTTTGATGGGCTGTGCATTTGATTAGGGGCATTACTACGAATGACGAAAACATTCATGGAATGTGTTCTTCATGGCTTGTTAGGATAGTGAGTGATACGCCTCCAGGTACTATCTCCCACCCTGACAGTGTTATTGTAATTGCTATGACAGATGAAAAAAAATTCATTATAAGAAAGCGAAAGACATGAACTTAGAAAGATCACGAAGTTTTCACGACTATACTTGACAATAAAACATATGGATTTGTTCGCAACGATGACAAAGTAAAAGATATATGAGATCATTTCCAACCGAAGGCTAGCCAGAAGGCTTGTTTTAGCCCTGATGGCTCATTTTAACCCTATGGTCATCCAAGATATTAATATTTTAATGAATAGTACATGATCATATTTGCCTTCATCTCTAACCAAGGGTCAAAGGGCCATAGGGCTCATTTTAGCTCTGTCATAAAAAACCGTATCCAACTGAGGGCCAAAGAGCCAAACATAATTTATTATTTAAATTTAATGTTATTTCATATTGTGTAATGTTGTTTCAAGTTGTTTAATGTTGTTTTATGTTACTTAATTTAATTTAATGTTATATAATGGCTTAGGAAGTTATAGGAAAAAAAAATAGAATTTAAAAATTTTGTAAAAAAAAAAAAAAAAAAAAAGGCCTACTATTCTTGTCGGATATAACCGACATGAATAAGTACAATGCTGTCGGATATGACCGACAGGAATAATGAAAATTTTGGCCAGCCCGGAGGGCTGGTTGGCTGAGTTGGGCCAGCCGGTTGGCCATTTGGTCCTTTTTTGTCCAGTGGAGCCCACGAGCCCTTTGCCCTAGCCCTCGGTTGAAGACGGTTTTCGAGCTATTTTTGGCTCTCTGGACCCTTCATTTGGAGATGGACTGAGTATATGCGTAATCTTATTGTAAAAATCAAATGATGTGTATGTTTGTACCGTCCGGAGACAGAGACACCTCTTTTTCGCCCTATATAAACCTACTTTCTTGCTGTTACAGACATAATCTTATGTTCTGAATAATTTCCTTACAATAGCTCCTCATTTGCCTTGACGCTTATCCTTTCTCCAATCCCATGGCTTCTCAGGGTTTGATGAAGCCCACAACCCAACTCGCTCCGTCCGAGCCTGTTCTTCCCACTGTTGTGATTGAAACATGCGAAAATCAAATGTAGCTCTATACGAGTTCTTGCTGACATTATGTTGTTTTTCGTTGTATTAATCGCGCACCTCATCAAATAAGATACAGAATTAAAGTACGATTCTACTCACCCTTGCGAATTCTGGGCGTTTGTCGTAGGCTGCGTAATGCCATGCACACCCGTTCTTGAGCATTACTTCCTGGATGAGATTGTAAACGGATATCAAGACTTGTTGGTGCTATATTAAAGTTAGCTGCCATATAATACCTGTACAAATGTGCCGTTGCTGTATACGTCGCCTACACAGCGTCCATAACGATCTTCCCCGTAGATAAGAACCCTCAAGCACTTGCCCTGAATAAGCTTAACCAGCTCCTGTTTGGCTTCTTTTCCGTAGGGCATTGAACTCTCCGGCGCATCTATACCCCTGTTTTCTCTTCAGACTCAATTAACTTTCACTAGTAGGATATGTTGCAGCTAGTTGAAATCATATAAATGGATGATACTACCTCAGTCGGATCCTATACTTTCGGGCAAGGACCTCCTCGTTTTCAATGTTCAGTACCCTGAATGGAGGGGGAAAAGCAATTAGAAACCTTTTTCTGCATTGGAAATGATTAATTAAACGAAGTTAATGCAAGTGGCACATGAATATCCAACCGGTATCCAGCATCAATGATCTTCTGGTGAAGTGCATCTGCCCTTGTATAGTTCCTCACGGCGCGTGCTTCTGATCTTTCAATGGCAGCTGTTTGCACATTGCTCGGAACACAGGATGACTCCCTGGGATCCTCTGTGCTGACATAGACCGTCACTGTATCGCCATCTGCAATCGCTTTTACATCAACCTGGTTCATCAAAATGAATCACCTATCAGAATTCCTAACTACTTTGCAGGCACCTGGTTGTGGTTAAAAGCAATAGTTTATATTACCGGTAGCGTCTGGAACTCAAACTTTACTCCTTCAGGCAATGATGTTGGATCCTCAGCGGAAATATTGAGGCCATAGAAAGCCAACACACCCTACAGATAAGCAATCACAAAAGCACTTTTACGTTACTGTATTTCATTAAAGTTGTGAAAAGCATGTAATGGTTGGAATTTTGTGGCAATGTACCTCAACATCCGCCTTTCGATGTCCTTTCAGGGTTTGTATGACAAGACTAGCCGCTTCTTCGGGTGTTCTTGGTAGCGGTTTTGCTTCCCTCCATGTCACAACTAGTTTTCTATACCTTTACAAAGTTGGGAATTTACAGAAATTTAACTCATATGGATATAAATTTCTCCACAGTCTGACCTTTTTTATTCGTAATTGCAGATTAAGAGCTCGTTTAGACATGCTTTTGAAATAACTGAAAGCGCTTTTGATGAAAATATTTTTGGAACCAATTCTTAATAAAAATACAAGTAAATTCTGAAAAAACATTTACATGCTTCCTGGAAGAAGCATAAGTTTAAGTACTTTTAGAACCAAAAAAACACTTTCCCTGAAAAAGAGCTTTCAGTAATTTTAAAAGCACGTTCAAACGAGCGTAATGAGATAAATTGCAAATCGTTTGCTAATTACCAGTTAGCTTGAGCTTTCCTGGACGAGACAACATGCTGACCGAGCCCTTCTGGGACCTTAAAAATCACAAATATACAAAATTGAGAAGAAGAAAAAAAAAAGTCAACTTGAAGAAAATGCGATCAAAATTAACAAAACCCAGAAACCTAAAAACCAAAAAATCATCATCCATTTACTCAGATTAAGCTTTTTACATATCGAAAGAACGAGAATTGCGAAGAAACAAACTGCATTTCCGACCTTAAGAACCGAAAAAGTGATTGAACGGTTGAATTAGTGGTCAAAAGGTTACCTGAGAGGTGATCTCGAAGTTGTAGAGGTCTTGGGCAAGAGCCGAAACGCCGACAGTGGTGGCGGAGACGCCGTGATGGCCAAGTGGATCAGAGTAGTCCCCGCCGGTGGTGGTGGGTTTGCAGCATTGGCCAAAGAGGAACCTTATGAAGCTTCCCAACAACCCCATTTCTCAAATTTCCCAGCAATCTTCTGAGCCTCCGGAGGCTCAGAGCTGTAAAGTAATTGGACCCAGAAGAAGCTGAACAAGCAAGAAAAAGGGAAGACGTTTTAGGTTGATGGAAAGGAGATTATAAATAAATCATTGGTTTTTGGTGAATTGGATGAAGCAAACAGGAAATTGCCAACCGATGAGATATGGAAGCGGAGAGAGGACGCAACGAATCATTAACAGTTGGACACGTGGCGTGTTGTGGTGTTGTTGGTCAACGGTTAATGTCAGCATCCCAACTGGAAGATATTTGTTCAGTTTGGTTAGTTACTGAAATCAGTCTTTTTTTTTTGTTTTTTTGTTTGGTAAAGGGGTTACTTTATTAGTAAAACACAACTTAATTACATGATTAAAGACCCACATACATGGGAGAGGATCTTCTCCGGACCCAAACCCTCCGGATCCTTCTTCTTAAAAGGCCGCGTTGGCGTCATGCTTCTCAAAGTCAGCATCGTGACTTCTTCGGAGCTAGTTACCGACAATGTCGTAATAGTTGTCGACGATCTTCTATATAGAAGTTTTCTATAAACATACAAGAAAAAAAGTGAAGAAGAAGACCCAGGAGTGAAGGAGAAGGATTATTGAAGAAAAGGAATTGAAGAAGAAGCAGCAGCAGAAAAGAAAGAAGAAGAAGGAGGATCGGGAGAGTTTGGGTCCGAAGAGGATCCTCTCCCCAAATACATAAACTACACAAGCAAAAGACAGACTTCATATGATTTCAGATTTGTGATTTTTGGAAGACATATGATCTTTGAAGAAAGATCTAAAAGATCAACGATTCGAATCTTGAGTCCCATAAAAAATTGTGTAAAAAAAATTAGTGCCGCAGATTGTTCCCTGTATAATTGTATATAGCTAAATAAGCTTTACAAGTATACTATCACGATTTATTTCTTTTTTGTCTACGCAACTTGCACATGACTAACTGCTATGCGACCAAAGACTATATCTTTTTTGGGTCTCCTAAGCATCAAAAGACAATAATAAACGGTTAAAATTTTACTAAAAAGAGTTAGTTAAATCTTAACCGCTCATCATAAAAAATAATATACAGAAAAGAATTATGCATGTGATGAGTGCTGTAGTCAGATTAAATATAAAGCGGCTTGTAAAGGATTTCAGCCCAACTGTCCAAAGAAGCCCAGTTTTCATGTACCCCAAGAGTAAAAGGATTTCCAATCTCAAGGCCTGCAACAAAATCTGTTGACCTGCCAGAAAAGTCACGAGCCTCCTTTCCATCCACACTGTCCACTCACGTTTGGTTCAAATTAGCATAATTTTTAGAGAGTTTTAACGAAAAGTTCACGGTATTGTTTATTTTAACGAAAAATCATATTTTTACACTAAAAAGTCAATCTTAATACTATTCACTTTACCCTTTATTTTATCCTTATCATTAAAACTCAAAGTTTTCGAACCATTTTCATTAGTTTTTCTTAATTTTTTTATTTTGATATTTGACATTAAAAATTGATAGAAATGGTCATAAGTTTATCTATCATAAATCATTTTGATTATTTCATAAAAAAAAATTGTCAATATCTTCGTTAAGGACAAATTCTATCAATTTATAAGGATATTAATAAATTTTTTACAGAAAGCCAAAATGATTAACGCTGGACAAACTCAGAAAACACTTCTAATTTTTATTATCAGAGATTAAAGTGAAAAATTATACTAATTTCAGAGACTATTTTGACTAAAAAACATAACAATGGATGACAGCAAAGAAATAATGGCACTAAGTTGGGATCATGAACTCGAAAATGCCCTTAAAAAAATAAAACTAAAAAGAAATGTTCATGGTGGAAGACTATTAGTGGTCCTTTTCCATGCTATTCTTCCACCAAAATTCACGGTTCATTGTGCATTTCTCCGTGTGAACCGAATATTGCAACCCTCCAAAGTTTCGGTTTCCTTCAAATACATGTCGACACAAAGTACATACAATTTTTCACATCGTTGTAACGATACATTGCCTTTTAGAAATACGTCACCACTCTCGATAATTTTAAACACCAAAATTATTACTTTTCGCAAAGTTTACGCACTTAATGTGGACGCGTACTGAATGAAAATCGTCAATATAATGGGCCCTCGTTCTTGAATAAGTTTTGAATAAAACAATATATTCCCGTTCTTTGCCCCAACCAAACCCGGCAGCTTTCATGATATTTGCCCGCCCTACATGGCCTTGTTGCTTTCAAGCCAGAAATCAAGAACAGAGCAGCTTCACACAAAGTGGAAAATTTAAAATTTAAAATAACAATAAAGTTTTATTCCATTAAGTGAAGTCGACTGTATAAATTTTGTAATATCGTTGCGCTCAGTATCGCTTCAAGTCTTTCGTTAACTTCAAGAACTCTTATGTATTTTCTGAGTTTATTCCAAGTATCCCATTGCTCTGATCCTCTGTCTCATAACCGCATATAGCATATGTAGATCTTTATTTCGCATGCCTAAATCTCGTCTTTTCTTGATTGCGGCCACTTCTACGCTTTTGGAAAAAGTCCAGTCAATCAATTAAAGAATCCAATACCTCATTCACCACCGTTTATTAATATGTCTCAACTTTCGGTTCACTATGATAACACATCAAGAACCAGCAGCCTTATCTCTTCTCCTTCCCCCTTCCACCTCTTTCCACACTCAACGGTTTCCACTTTTTTGCTCAAATCCATCAAGATTAAATGGGAAATGTAAGCCAGATCCATCTTAAATTGCTGAAATTTTATGGCTTTTGATCTTGATTGAACTAATGGAGCCTATTTTTCTGTTGTTTTAGGTGGTGGAATTGAAGGTGGGCTTGCACTGCGAGGAATGCATCAAGAAAATCTTGAAGGCCATCAAGAAGATTGAAGGTAATTCATGTCTACTTTCATGCTTTAAACTACGGCGAAGAGCGTCAGGATCCACACCGTAAATGTGCGCACAAGCGAAGCAAGAAGCAACCATAACTAGCTTGCGCGCTTGCACGACTGATCCTAACACTCGCAAATAACATGTCCCTTAAACTACTTGCTACCCATTTTTTGATTGCTTCTGCTCTTTCTGGCTAGCAGATATTGAAACATACAACGTGGACACACAACTCAACAAGGTCACGGTGACCGGAAACGTTACGGAGGAAGAAGTCGTTAGGGTTCTTCAAAAGATTGGAAAGATGGCAAGCACTTGGGAAGGAGAGCAAGCAACCTCCTGAATCAGAATTCAATCACACAGCCTTCAGTTGCTAGCAAAACGGAGAATAATCAAATATTTCGATCGGACGGTCAGGAGAGACTCGATCTTCACTCTTAACCACTGCAGAAATGAATACTCTTAAGCGCTTGAGCTAAGCTGCGGCCCATGTAATCAGGCTTCTCACAGCCTTCAATTTTGTAATTTAATTTCGGTTTAAATAAAATAATTTTCCTTCCCAGAGTAAATTAGTTGCTTAAACAAGATCTAATTAGTCGCTAATTAGATTTAATTTATTGCTCAAATCAAAGTTACAAGCGGTAGAACACATGTAAGTGAACAGACAGTGAAAGCTGGATACATGCTTTATCTACGAAAAAAAAGGCTACATCAAACTCGGTGATCCAGAGCCGACCGAATCGGTCTACCGCGGCTGCTGAATCGGCCTCGGACTCACTTTCACGTTGACAATCTTCGGAGCCTTTTCGATGTACCTCGGCGCCTCCGCCGCGGGTCGGCCCTTCCGCCATTTCAGCAATCCCAACGACGCCAGCTCTTTCTTCAAGTCCTTCTCTTGTTCCTCCACCGCCGCTGCACACCACAAGATTTTAAACAGAGTCAGATCGGAAACTCGATCGAGTTGACTCAAAGTAAAAGGTACTAGACTCGTTAGGGACTGCTTCTGTAGGAAGCACTTCCGCTGCTTTTTCTAGGAGTGCTTTTGTTGGAAAATATTGAAATTTTTTGTTCACTCTTGAAAAAGCATTTGGATTGTTTACTGGGAAGGCACAAGTGCTTCTATGATCTAGAAGCAGGTACAGTAAGAAATGCTTACGCTGAGTGCTGGGGGAGTGGTGGTGGTTCTCGACGTCGTCGAAGAAGGCGTCGATGTCGGGGAGGAGGTCAGGATCGAGAATATCGGGAAAGGCGGCGTCGTTTTGGGGATCTTGGAAGCGCTCCTGAAGCCAGTAGTCTTGGAACCAAGGGGAGGACTGAACCAGGGCCCACCATTCGGCGGAGAAGTCCTCCACCGTCCGATACGCTAGCGGCACGAACATCGGAGCGTTGGGATTCAGATTCGACGACGTCGTCGCGCTCCTGGAGATCACGTCCATGGCCAGTTCGTTGTTTGCTTTGCTTGCTGTCAATCTCGAAACGACGTCACTGAGAGAGAGAGAGAGATACGAAGGAGATGAAGGAGCGGATAAGGTTAAGAGTGGAAATATCTTGTTATAAATAGGCAAATTAATGAGTAAATGCAGACAAATTAGTTAATATTTTAATTGAAAAGCGTAAAAATAGGGGGATTGGTCGGTTACTCACTTTTAGTGGCCCACAGTTTTTTTTTTTTTTTGGTAACTACCCGCAGTTTTACTGGATTTCCCAATTTGCCCACTGAGGCCTGGAAATTTCTTTACTTTGTGACATATAGGCAGAGAGTGACGCAGGCCCACTGTTTTTTCATGCCACGAGGAAGCCACTTCGGTCTTATCCGCTCACTGGAGAACCTAGAATGCATCGTTTCATGTCCTGCTCCAGGATTTTTAGCCGTTTGATACTTATTAGTAGTCATTGTGTGTGTGCGTTTTTTTTTTTTTTTTAACTAAAGATTTAGAGCTATGTTATGAGCCGGTTCATTCTCGAATAATCTCCAATCTTGATTTTGACATTAACCATAATACGCTCTTGAAAGGTGGAATTCTAATGTATAATTAGCTAAAACTCCATTTTATGCTAATGGTATAACGCACCTGCATTTGCTTCATGTAACGTTGTCTAATAGACATTGAGTTGCACAATAACAATGTATTGTGAGTTGCTCCCCAAATTGTGGTTGCTAAATCATGTGACGAATGGGTTTGAGTATCGTGGAAAGTTAAAATTCAGTTCAAACTGCAAGGAAAGATTCAAACTTAGATACTTTCAAGCACACCTCCTTTTGCTAATGTGACTACGTTAATTATCAAAAAATCCAAATAGATCAAAATTAACCAATTCTTCTTTCTAGTGCTTCATTAGTTAACATCATCAATCACTAGCTAGCAGTCGTATCAGTACGCTCTTTCCTAATCTATCACCTTGTAGCCAATAAAATTGTAGCCTTATTAATCTTTGGATTAATGTTACTAATTACGTTATATTTAGGTTAATAAATAATAAAAAATTTAAAAAAATATATAGAATAATCATGCATGCTATAGCTAAACACCCGCAGTTTTCTAAAGGCTCGAATTTAGATTATCTATTTTGTAGGATATAGCTCACCCGTCAAAGACTTAAATTCCCAAAATATCAGCTTCACCTCCCATTCCTCTCTCCGACTCTGTGTGTTTGTGTATGGTACCTGTTGCATTCACTTCTTCTTTCTTCGATTTTTCGGTATCTTTCTTTCGTTCTTCCTTTCTTTTTCTTCTTCCTCTTCCTTGTGGTGCCCAGCCCAGATGGGCTTGGAGATAAATACGTTGGTTACAGATATCGAACAGGCCATAGACAATGTGAGTTTGGTGTGCCAAGCTCCCCACGGCAGCATTGTTTCCGGTGGACTAGGGCGCTATCACAACCCTCTCAGATCCTCTACGTCTCTTTTTCTGCTGCAGTTATCTGCCATTGCCATTGTTTCCCAGTTGATCAATCTCTGCCTCAAACCCATGGGACAGTCCACCATCGTTTCTCAGATGTTTGTACGATTTCAATCTCTACATTAACAAAACCTGTACCTACATTTGGACACCATTTCTATATGAACTAATTCGCCATGCTTTCTTTTTGTTGCATTAAAAAGGGTAAAATTAAAAGCAAGCACAGTATAAAATTAACTCGAAAATCAGCGTGTATTATTCTGTATGAACAGAGGATGATTATGTAGCTATATATTCCGTGTGTATCTAACAAATCGAAAATGTGTACCTTCTTCAGGGTGGTGTAATATTTGGGCCATCACTTCTGGGGCACAGAAAGGAAATTGCAAACACCATCTTCCCGATAAAAGGCGCTAATGTGTTTGAAACGATTTCAACATTCGGCCTCATGTTCTTCCTTTTTTCAATAGGAGTGAAGATGAATGCAGGCAGAATGATAAGGCCTGAACGAAGAGTGGTTGCCATTGCACTTTCAATGTTCTTCTTCACCTTGGCACTCCCCTTATGCCTAGCCATGACAATGAGAGAATATGTCGCAATGGACGAGACCCTTAAGACAGCTCTCCCAACTATAACTGCAGCACAGGCTGTAACGGGTTCCCCTGTGATTGGTTGTTTACTAACCGAGCTCAAGCTAATGAACACAGACCTTGGCCGCCTGGCCCTCTCTGTAACAATGTTTGCCGATGTTATTGGCATCAGCATGGTTGGGATTGCCATGGCAATTTTGGGTAACAAGACAAAAAGTGCGTTAGTTCCAGTTTTGGAAATAATAACAGCAGCAGTTTTTATTCTTTCGATTATATATGTGTTCAGGCCAACAATTCTATGGATGCTAAACCGTATAGAGGAAGGGAAATCTGTCAAGGAGTCATATATCATTACCATTTTCCTGTTTGTTCTTGTGTGCGGATTTCTCAGTGAGCTCGTCAGCCAGCATTACCTGCTGGGACCTCTAGTGCTTGGTTTCGTCGTGCCTGAAGGGCCGCCTTTGGGATCTGCATTGGTGATGAAGTTGGAAATTATGGCTACAGGATTGTTCTACCCAAGTTACCTTGCCAATAGCGGGCTGAGGACGAACATCTTCAGGATTAATCCTCGGTCTACGTGGATTATGGGGTTTCTTGTTCTCTTTTCTGCCCTGGTGAAGATAGGAGCAGTAATGTTACCAGCCGCCTATTTTGATGTCCCTACGCATGAAGCTTTTGTGCTCGGCATTATCCTTAATGCAAAGGGCATCACTGAGCTTGTTATGTTCAATATCTGGAAGCAAGGCAAGGTCTGAATCTCAATCACTAATTTAAACTATCTTTTTCTCTAATTGTTTTCAGTACGATGCTCACCTCGGATGATATGATGAATCTTTTACAGATTCTGACTGATCAAGAATTCGCGCTGTCCGTGTTCTCAGTGATAGTGATGACAGCAATTGTAACACCTTTGATAAAGTTTCTTTATGATCCTTCGAACAAATACACAGCACTTAAAAGAAGTACTATCCAGCATTTGAAGCGCGAGTCAGAGCTCCAAATCCTGGCCTGTATCGACAACCACGACAATGTTCCCACTGTCATAAACGTCCTGGAGGTATCAAATGCCACAGAAGAGAACCCTGTTGCAGTCATAGGACTCATCCTCACCGAGCTTGTGGGGCGAACCAACCCTATTCTTGTGGCACACCAACCGCATGACAACTTGGACAACAATACAGCCATGTCCAGCCATATTGTCAAAGCACTGAGGCAGTACGAGCAGCATAACGAAGGGTGCGTATCCCTCCAAGCATTCACTTCCATCTCACAGTATATAACAATGCATGAGGATGTTTGCCGGGTAGCATTAGAGAATAGAGTTAACCTGGTGATCCTGCCATTTCACAAGCAATGGGCAGTAGATGGCAGCATTGGGGCAGTGAACCGAGCTCTCCGGTCCATGAACAAGAATGTCCTTGAAATGGCGCCTTGCTCTGTCGGAATTCTCATTGACCGGGGACTGCTAGCAGGGACGGTGTCAGTTCTAACCAGCCAGTATATATTCCATGTTGCTGTGATCTTCATTGGTGGTGCAGACGATGCAGAGGCACTAGCCTATGGTGCTCGCATGGCAAGACATCGGAGTGTGGATTTAACAGTTGCCCGGTTGCTTCTCTTTGGTGATGAAAACAGTAAAGAACGGAAGCGGGACACTGACCTGGTTGATGAATACCGGCTAGCTAATGCAGACAATGAGCGGTTTGTTGTCGTGGAAGAGCTGGTAAGAGATGGAGCAAGATTGTCTGCTGTTATCAAATCAATGGTGGATTGTTTTGATTTGATATTGGTAGGCATGCACCATCAGGACTCCCCACTTCTTTCGGGGCTTGGTGAGTGGAGTGAGTGCCCAGAGCTTGGAATCATTGGGGATATGCTTGCTTCCTCGGATTTTCATTGCTCAGTTTCTGTACTAGTGTTGCAGCAACAGAGAATAGGAGGGAAACCAGTTAGTCGGAATCAACCAGTTGACAGAGAACCGCTAATTCAGGATGCACCACCTGAGGAAACAGTAAGAGGATCCTGGACAATTACAGTTAATGAATAGGAAATAGAGTTTAGAAACTCTTCCTTTCTCATATTCTTCTTTTCTCTATCAACTTAACCCCCATTCATTTTTCTGTAAATGATACCATTTTGGGTTCTTTTTGTACTTTGTTTTTCAAGAGTAACATAATGTAATTTTCCGAAGAAAAAGGAAAAAACAAAACAAAATTCTTAACAAGCGAGTGTTATTAACCAAAGATGGAATTTATATTCATCACATCTCTACATACATACTAGTACATTCACAAAAAAACCTTTGATAGAAAATCAACTCCTCCTCCCCTTGCGGCATATGGATCACCTGCAAAGTATCAGTCTCTGATATTTCGATTAGTTCAGTAACATCCGGGGAGAAATGTCCAAATGTTGAAGAAAAAATATTTGCACGTCGAGGTTTCTCCATTCATTTTGTTTATGAGATAATTTCAATCTATTTTCTTTCCTAGTACCTCCTACCTACATATTAGATGAGATTCGGAAACTATTCTCATGCACTGAGCATTTAATTCCATAATACTGCTTTTGTCATCACCAAAATTGACAGAATTGGAATAGTGATCACCATTATCGACAGAACTGTATTACATTAAGGAACTTACAACAGGGGACGTGATACATGTAAAGCTAAGGACCAAAATCCGTTTCTTTGAGATCTCTCCCAGCAGATTTTAAAGAAAATTCTGCAAACTAGTATGAAGATCTAAAGTGGGAAAATATCACCTCATTTACTTTGGATTTCATCTAAACTTGTCTCCTCCGTGTTGTTACCTTCCAGTGCTGGCATTTGGTTAGTAGAATCGGGTATTTCTGGCATTTGGTGAGAGGATGACTCTCTCTTCTGAGATTGCAATCCAGTAAAGCGTGCAAGATCAATCCATTGCTGCAGCAGTAAAAATGAAACATTGAAAATGACATTGGGAGAAAAATTGATCTAACGGCATACAAACTAAGTGTGTCACGATGTTTACCAAAGGTATTTATAAACAACAGTGCACTATCATCAGTCTACATAATTACAAATTAATACAATAATGGGACAAGCCAGATACTCTAAGACACATACACACATAACTACAAATTATTTGCTAAAAGACGTTCTGAAAAGATCTGCACTTTCCACTCTGACAAATATACACTTTAAAAACATAGCAGCCATAATTACAAATACAGTAACGGGATGAGCCAGGTATTTATGCTTCCAGTAAGAGTGATAATATGGTTACCATGGCTAAGTTGATCTTTGAAAAATTAAAGGAATTTTAACTTGCAGAATATCAAGATGATTCTGACCTGAGTTCCCCAATACGAGTTTATTGTCCGAGAAACAAAAGACAGCAGATTTACAAGTAATGTTTGAGAAGCAAACTCGTCAGAAATTCGATGCTCTATTACTCCAGCAATAATCTGCATCAGAATTAAGTTTCAAGTTAATGCCAAAAGGAAACATAATACATGATTACGAATTTACGATGTATAAATATGCTTTCGTTTTGTTATATTGAAGAGAAAACTTGTCCTAGATAATCTTTGGTTGACGTTATGAGCTTCATTTCGATTTATAATCTTTGGATGTCCCACAGGTTGTAGCTGGCTTTCACTTCAACAACAAACAACAACAAAGCCTTTTCCCACTAAGTGGGGTCGGCTGAATGATAAAAAAGAAAGAATTTTTGTGGGCATCGGTTTCACAAGAATGTTGAGATATATACCCATTTTCCTTATTCATTCTCATGGGTTTCACCATTACTGTAAAAAAACTGTTTCTCTGTATCTTCCATTTTTATTCTCAAAAAAAGAATAAAACAAGAAAACAAGATGGCAAGTACTTTCTTTACCTGATAACGGAGATTTGCTGATGTTCCAAGAAAGGATGAATAAATTATTGCTGTTTTAAGTATTGGAGTTCTTTTCTTTTCCTGATCACTAATCAGAGTTGGATTAATGAATTTGCGAACAGCAAACAAACCATTTGAGGCAGCAACAGCCGCAATGCTTGAAATGAATCCAACACCAGCTAATTTTAAACCACCCAGAAACACAGATGCAAGTCTATAATTGATACTCCAATCCTTCCCCACAAGATTCTTCTGAAACGCATTATCTGGGATGGACCCAAGGAGACCTTTAATGGCATCCATGCTATCAGGCGCGTTCATCTCATCGGCATATGAAAGGAATGACAATGTTGGGGCGGGAAGCCACACTGTAAAGAAATCAACCACTACTCCCCTTAGAGTATCTGTAAAAACATAGTCCAGCTCTTCAAAGAAATTTTCTCTGCGCTTCTCATACTGTGCTATGAGAGTAGTAGTTAATGATATAGCTTCTTCTATAGCTAATCTATTCAAGAATTTAGGATCTGCCAACAATCTTTCCCTGAAACCCTGCACGAAGATGAGCAATAGTAAACTTGTGTGCTCTTCAGAATTTGCTTCACTGTCATCAATTGGTTTTCACCTTTCGATCTGATATAAATATGACAAACTATTCTAAAGATCAAAAGTTTCAAATTCGCACACCTGGAAACGTTGAGCAAGTTCTGCTAGAAGAGGATACTGCTCCAGATCAAAGAAGTTCTGTAATACCTTTGGGGATACCAAACCAAGATCCAGTCCTTTCTGAAGGTCCTGAAAAGCATGCCACAGTTTAGTGTTCTCGAGAGATGGAAAGCAACACCATTAAAGTCAGTTGATATTTTCGAAAAGCAGATGTAATGTGCAAAGCCACTGCATAAGACACCTCACCCCAGTTACCCAAATGTCATTTGTAAAGTCCCAAATGCCATTTGAAAAAGGTGAAGTTTTAGTTAAATAAGCAACTGATGTGGTTTAGAATGATCCTTCTTTTTTCTTGGAAGTTAAAAATTGGCAAAGAATCGTACTGACCTGTGGAAGGGCTTCTCGCCTCCTGCCTGCTGCATTCATAACTCGAGCAATTTCAGCACGATCAAAACAATTCCTGCTGCAGGTTCTGGCAGCAGAATACCACAGGAAATCAGCAACAGGAACTTCTCCCTCTCGTCGTATGTGCTGTCTTTCAGGATCAAGTAATATAACTACTTGGTTTTTCTTTTGCAACTTCTTTGAAATTCTGGCCGGCAGCCCAGTCCCTCTAATCCCATATTTAACATGGCTTGCACCTGTCACCACCACTAGCATACCATTTGCTCCTCCATCCGCCATGGCCTTTAAAATAATCTGGGACATAGTATAATCCTCAACCACTCTTGCTTGCGCAGAAAGATACGAGCTTGGCCCAAAAGGAACAGATTGACTCCGGGAATTTGAATCAACTGGTGGTCTGCGTGTGATAGAAGTGAAGCCTGATATGAAGCCTGAACCCGCTGGAGGAGTATATGTTTTTCGATCAGCCTCTGAAAGCCCACTAATTCCCTCTGCTTGGACAGTCCTTAAAACCTATGAATTATTCACTCATTAACCTACTACACACACTCTAAATTTACAAGGCAGAATCAAACAATCTTACAACACAATCTTAAATACTCACATTTCTCATGTTACCCAATTTTTCAAATTTGGATTATAACCTATATACCATCATTCATTGATGCTAGTTGATTTGACTTACAAGTTACAAGAACAAAGTTTAAGAGTACCTTGAGTGGAGTTCCACAAGCCACAAGCCGAATTCCGTTATCCCGACAGTAACTCAGGAGAGGCTCATACTCCTGCCAGCGTTGAGATGGCCAATGTGATGTGTAGGACTTCAAAGCTTCTCCATCTATGCTGTGCCATCATATATACACAGACATCAATACATGCAATACGGAAATATACATGCCAGTGTGAATTGTAACTCGCTTTCCAACAACCAAAAGTGCTTCTGGCAGCATTTAGCAAAAAAATTTAAAATGCTTCTGCATCATGAAAGTGCTTTATGGAGAAGCGCCTCCTTACACCTCAGGCACTTAGATATGAAATTTCAGTACGCATTTAATAAAAACACTTCTTGCAAAAGTGCTTATGAACAGAAGTGCTTCCTAACCTTTTGTCCATGTACTGATTGAGCTGGTCCTGGAGATTACAAGGAAATGCTTCAAGAGCCAAAGATAATGCTCGCTCACTCTCCAAACACTTTTTCCCCATATTCTTCACAATCTCCAGCTCCAATTCTTTGTCGTCGTGAATCGGAACCTGTTCTGCTTCGCCTAAATACACAATCCGAGCATTCATCACTTTCTCCCACACCTTGCCCTTATCCTTCCCCATCGCCATTGGCTCTCCGATCACCGACGCGTCGTATATTCTCGACGTTATCGCATCCTCCTCCTCCTTCTCCTCTGCTCTCGGCACCGGTACTGTCTGCGACGGTGATGGCGGCGGCGATGTAGACAGCGCGTCCTCGGCGCTCGCTACCGTCGATTTCAGAAACCACGCGCCCAGCGCCAGCGTTGGCGCGAGTAGCACTTGCCGCCTCGTATGGAGCGGGCCCCGTCGAGCTTCGTCGGAATAATCAGCATTTTCTACTGAGCTACCGGTATCCTGATCGGAAATTTCGGGCTGGTTTCGGCGGAGAACTGCGGAGATGCTGGTGCGGCGGCGTTTACCGTATGAAACTCGCCGGGGAACGTGTGCTGTGGCCGGTAATTGCCGGCGAAGAGAGAGCTCCGGCGAGGCTCGTGGAGGAGATGTTACGTGAAGCGGGCCAGTCGTGGCGAATCCTCTGTTAGTGTGGGGCTTCATTTTTGTTTTCGCCGCGACCGCAAATGCTCAACTGCTCAGTCACACATATCTCTCCGCGAGAGAGAGAGAGAGAGAGAGAGAATTTTCCGATATTAAGAAATAAGGGCTTTTTCTGTTTGTTATTCGTTAATATTTTAGCGCGCCTTCAATAGTTGAGTGTTTCTTTGTCACATAAATTCGAAAATGTTTGGAAAATACTTTTTTGGATGGGAAAAACAAAAAAATTATCAATTTGGTCTCAAAGAGGATTGCGGTGGCCTCCCCTCCTCCTTAAATTTTTTTTTTTTTTTTTTACCAAATAAAATATCAATTTTATCCGAGTTTTCTTGACCTTCTCATTCTTATCCGCCAGGTACACAGGTTTTGAGTGGTGCCAATTTGAACATTTTGTTATGTCAATTTTATCCAAATACAATTCTCCTTTTAAATCATTTTTGTTAGTCTAAATCATTGTTATAAAAATCTTCGTTTACGGTGCCACTAGTCCGATTAATTCTTAGGCATTTAAATTTAAGAAATTACGTCTAGATCTGTCCAGATGTTCGCCTGGTTTGGCTAGGCGTCCCTATCTAGGTCACGACTATTACTTAAATAGAAAATATATAACTACATTTTATTTTTCAATAAATTATAATAGACTTGTTGAATGCTTAGATGAACATTCATTATATGCATGTTTATTCTCTATATTTTCAATATTTTGTAATACTTTATAATTTATGTCACTATATTTTGCTAAATTAAAGCTAAAAGAAGGGCCTAGACCCTTGCCTAGGCTTTAGGCCCCAGAAAGGGATCATTTCCGGATCCCTTCCACCAAATCCTACCAATCAACAAATTCGGGCCTTTGAAATTTGATCCAACAGCTAAAAACAAGGAGGCCTAGATTTGTTGATTGGTAGAATTTGGTGAAAATGATCAGAAGTTGATCCCTTTCTTTATGCCCCTACTTGCCGTCCAACTAGCATAGCGCTTTATAGAACCATTGTCTAAATAATATAAAACATTTTGTTAGCCTTTCCTTAGTCTTTGTTTTCGTTTTCTTGTTGATTCTTAATTAGAACGCCGAGCAGGAGGCATGCATCAACATTGTCCGTTGGCTATAGCAGATATACTCTCTCTATAACCCTTCTAAGTCTTTCATTAAGATTACGTGCCAATGTAACAGTCTCGTCCAAGAATTTTTGAAACCCAGGGATTTTTGCGAAAGATGTTGGCCGAACAAAGCTGCGTTTAGTGGTAAAGTTTTCCTCCATTAGCAAACAAATCTAGCAAGTAACCTCTTACAACAAACAAAACAGTACGTCTAACACAACGATTATACAAGCTCAATCGAGTTATTGCTTGAACTACAAGACTACAACAGTCAATTTTACTGACCAGAATATCAAAGTACAAATCGTAAAATACGCTTGACCTCTAATGCGACAAGGTAAAATAGACAACGGAAAGAATGACTCTGGAAAACTGCAAGCTTCGGAGCTCTTCAACAGCGATTACAGGGAAGAGAGAGAGAGAGAGAGAGAGGGAGCTCACTGGATACCGGGAAATGAGGGCAAGACAGCGATAAGGGGGTCTCCGAAACCAACGGCTTCTGCAAATCATTAACAATCCAAATAAACATATATGAGAGCCATCGTAGCCTTTTAGATTAAGTTCACAATATACGACCCTATTTATGACAAATTTGATAACATTAAACTACTGGATTGAAAAATGATAATAGTAACTATACCTCCGTCATTGAAGAGGAGCTTCAAAACTTCTCCACCCAAATCAGTCTGCTCAACACATCAAGAATCCGTCACGAGTGATATGTCTATCATGAAACACTTGCTATTTAAGGGAACTGAAATGGAAAACGTACCTTCACAGGAAGTTCGGTGCCAAACTGATCCACATATCCGACTACCTGTCCTTGTTTGATCAAATCACCCTGTAAAGTTTGGAATCAAGAGAAGCGAGATTGATGTTATGTTGCCAAGTTGGTTATACAAAATGTGACCCTCCGAGACACTGTTATGAGACTTAAATCGTAATAGCAGTTGCAATAAAAGCACCCACAGAATCGGTAGTCCATAAAATGGGACTTATTTAGACTTGAATCTTATTACCAGAAACGCAATCTTCTAGATAGATATGCATACTTACTAACTTACTAATCAGTTGAGTTCTTGATTTACCCAACTCAATGACGAGTTTAGAAGAATCCTCTGGGAGTAATATATTATGTAGAAATCTTTTTCTAGATAACGCACGAATGACATATTAAGTGAATTTCCTATTAAAATTACAGCAAAAAGAAAAAATTTAATGTTGAACCAAACATAGGTATGCAAGTGATACCTCTTTACAGATGGGAGGTTGCTTCTTTCCTTTCACCGTTCTTCCCCTGCGGAATGAACCAACCTGGAACCAACAAGAAACGAAAGATAAAAGTGAACCCTAGATGATATATCGTAGTTATTGTTCTGGACAGAGTAAAAGAGGTTCAAGAACCAAATTGTTGCTCGAACATAGGAATAACACATACCGTTGGAGAAGAAACCAGACCATATCCATTAGCACCGGAAGCCTCCAAGGCTGCTAATCTTGATGACTTGTCTGCAGATAAGTTTGTAAATGGAGTGGTCTTTTCAGAAGATTTTGGTGGTGATGCTGGAGGGGGAGCAGGAGTTGAATCCATAGGTGCAGATGGAACAGGTGGTGGTGTTGCTGGCGAGATGCTAGGCACTGGGGCACTGGTGCCTGCAATGTTCCGCTTCAAATGCATTTCAAAGTCTCCAACCTAACACAAAGATATGCATGACCAATCAACGAAGAGAACGTAATACAAACCAAAATGTGCCGATGACAATCAACTCTAGACACCCCAGTAAAATAGTAGAAGCCCGAGAGAACTAATGAACTTTTAACCAGGTGTTGAATCCATGATCTACCACTACAATGTTTTATTTATGTCCCCTATGCCTTTAACTCCATGGATACACTAAAAAATGTACTCATTATTACCTTAACATATTGAGTACGCAGTGCTTTTTGGATTCTTAACAAAGATCTGACTTTGTTTTTACTATAAAATCATGCTTTATGTACACATGAAGCAACAACATAGATTTTTCAGGAGTACCAATTTGCTTGATGGGCGTTGATATTTACCTTAAGTTTCAGTTCAGCAACCTCAGTCTCATCACAAACCTCCAGCATCAGTGCCTGATGATAAAGACAACGACGTGTCAAACCAGACGGTTGTGCAAAAGCATTAGAAGCAGGATCAATATCGATATGAAAAGAATCTAATAAAATTTTAATGAATAAGACAGAAGCATAGTTGAAGCACAGTCGGGGACAAAGCTAAAGCATGAAGTACAAGTCGATCAAATTTATACCAATTTTCAAAGTTCAAAAGCAGTTGAGAATCTTGCATCAAAACGTTCAAGTAACAATTTGCAATATCATAACATAAGAAACAATCATAACAAAGCAAGATTTAGGATTACTTTCAGTATAACCCAAACATATAATGATTAATCTCTCTATGTGAAATTGTGAATTGTTAACATACAATACCTTCACAAATCTATTAATGATGGAAAAAATTAATTATGCTACAATCACAAAGAACAAAGGGTCATACAACAAAATCAAGAATTCCTGGTTCAATTATTAATTTTTTTGTTTATGTAAAATCGTAAATATTCTCACCTCAAATCCTCTAGGAAAAATTGTAGGTTGGGTAGCTTTTTCTGATGAGCCTTGTGGTTTACCATCTGCTGAAACTGCCCAACATCAAGTATCTTTAAGATGGAAATTTAAAGTTTTACTCAAGACTTTGATATATTGACATTTTAGCATGTATAAGCACATTTAAAGAAAAATGATAACCCAATGTTTAAGAAACAGAAACTAAAAAGAAAGAAATCAAATCCCGATGTAAACTATATTCTCTCCAAAAAAAAAAAAAAAATTATCTTCACATGTAACAATGTAACGGAAATCAGGCTTTACAAATATCCAAGAGAAAACATCACGAGTCATTGATTAATTCAAATTGCACTCATAAATACAAACTTGCTAACTGAATATTGTATAGACATAAACATACCGCTGGAATTTTCACTCTTGGTAGCATCAGATGTCTTCACACATGATACTAGCACTCCCTTTCGCTTTTGTGAAGAATAAATGAACTTCTCACTAACCATCGAGCCTTGGAAATATGACCTACTTGGCACGGGCCTTCTGGTATTGTGCACAGGCAACACACCAGGCTTGTCAAGCAAGGACCGGACATGGGAAACTGTGCCGACAGAACCTGAAATGTGACATTGTCATGTCAGATTCCAACAATTGATCAAGGTTTAACGATCATTGAACAGTTTTCACTTCGTAGAGTAACGTAAAAAGATTATGCATATACAATTTCAAATCCTTCGTATGCATGCTTTATTATTCCAAACAGGACGGTTTCATGAAATGATAAAATTGAATGATTGATTGCGAGGCAATATGTAAAACTGTTTCACACAACAACGAATATTACAACAATATTACAAAAATTGTCATGTTGCATTCAAAATTCAGCATTCAAAGAGATAAGGCACGTATAAGCCTTTTCACGCGGTATGTCTTATGGATTCGCTACTCCTTTCTGAATGAAGCAAATGACGGTACAATTCAAGTTTTACCACATCATTTGAACAAGTTTCAATTCAGCATGCTTTGTTAAATTAGATCCATTCAGCTCCAGGAAGAAAAAAAAAACGATGTCTATATTCGTATTCCTCATCATAGAAATCCGTGCCGGTTGAAGATAACAGGAAAACAAAAAAAAATCACCAGATCTCAAACAATTGGAACCTAATTTCTTACTTCAACATCCATATTTCTTCTAGCATTACCTTAATTTCACGAAAACAGTGTGCGCAAGAACCAACTAAGCTTAATCCTCCAGAAACAATCAAAATAAACTCAAATCTTCCATTTCTTCTCAAAAATCACCACAGTTCGATTCCTCACGAATCAATTCATTCAGAAAATCAAAATCTAAGACGATTAAACAGCTAAAATAGTTTTTTTCGAAAAAAAAAAAAATAAAAGCTCAAATTGTTTAACACTAATGCTTAAGCTTCAAACATATACAAATTTATATCATGTGTGCATGTATGTAGGGATGAACATAGAGAGAGAGAGAGAGTTACAGTTGAAGGATCGGAGAGCGGCGGAGGATTCCATTGGCAGAAGGAAAATGCAGACGAGAGAGATTTCCGGTGATTTGGACGAACCAGAAACGGTGGAATCGGGACGAGACGGGAATTTATAATTTTATAGAGAAGTTTTGGGGGGCAAAATCGAGAGCTTGAAGAAAATGAAGCGATACTATGCGGTGTGTTTGGTTAAGCACAGTTGTTGGGGAGATTGATCTTCGAAATGTCCGCCTCCCTCATCAGTTTCTCCGTTTTAGTTTTCATTGCTTGTCGCTAACTTGCGCCGGGGAGCGCTCCCTCTCACGTGGCACTTATCCGTCGCTCCTTGATCGAGGAAGTATTGAGTGCGGCGGGTTGCAGAATTGCACCTGTCAATTTACTAATTCAGACTTTTGTAATTTGATTAAACGGCTAAAAACAAAGGATTCCTTTAAAAGTTATAATAAGTTTGGCCGTTAAATCAAATTTTAAAGATGCGGATTTATTGATTGACAGAATTTGATAGAAGTGATCCAGAGAGAATCCCTTTCCTTTATTTAACACGGCCAGACAAGTTTGTTCGATTAGCCCAATATTTTTTAACCCCAATATAGCTTAGTTCTTCCACGAGACATTTCATTTTTTTGGATGTGGGAGAAGGGAGTGTTCAAACTTGAAACTAGAGAAATATACAACTAAGCGAGAGTTTTTATATGCGAATCAAGTAAATGACGAGTACACAACTAATTTAGTGCGCCACTCATTCAGTGTAAATATATCGTTGCATTAAAAAGTTAGATCAATTTAAAAAAAGAAACATAAAGGCGATAAGATCAAATCAATTCAAAGTACGTTATTGCCGTAAAAATGCAAATCAAATTACACTTGAAAATGAGTATCCTAGATTAAGCAATAGTAATTGTTGGCTCCAAAGGGAAATTAAGCAATTGTAAGGGTCAGGATTTCTCTAAATTCCAACCTTCTAGTTTCAGTATAAAATGTTTTATGTTTGTTAGGCCAATATGTTAACCAAATCCACCCTCTAACTTCCCAATCCATTGTTCTTCCCATGGCAGCTTTGTCCACCTTCCAAAGCACACCCTCTCCATACTCATCACCAGCAAAAACAACCCCTCCTTGCCTTGTGAAAGGCCTATAAGCACTAGAGTATCTATGTTTGAACCAAGCCTTAGGGTTGATCAATTGAAACTTTGATGGCTTAGAAGAGAAGACCTCTCTTCCATCCACACTATCATGAAGAAACCAGTTCAAATTTGCGCTATATCCGTACACTGATTCCTCAAACTTCCAGGGTTTTAAGCTCATTGTTATGGTCTCGCTAGCTGATACCTTCAGCGCCAAGTAAGGGTTTGGGGGTTCGAACGAGCCTTCTATGCCTTTTTCCTTGCCGATCTCTATTGCAGGGTTTTCAGAAGACTTGCCCACCGAGACGCTTAGCACGTTGGTTTGTGTAGTTGGAGTAACTTGTAATGAAATTCTTGAAGGGAAGTGCTTTTCAGCTACCCCGGCACCTTGTTCGTTCATTAGTCTCTCATTCACAAGACTGATCACATCACACCTGTAGTTTTTGGAGTCAGCGATCAATTTGGCAAAAATTTTGTTGATCTACATGGTATAAATAATCAGTTCATGTGATATAATACGAGTGCAAAAGATACCTTATATTATCAATGTTTAGCATCACATCAATCCACCTCTCTTGAACCATGACATTGTAATTGAATTGAAGCACACCCTCAAGCTGGTGGAAATTCAGAGAGAATTGGAGCCTTTCATCAACAGAGAGATTGCTGGATTTTGCAACGTCCATGGCTATGAGAGGACAATACAATTGGACTTTCCACAACCCAAATGCTGAAAAACCATAAGAGAAGAGTGGTGAAGGTGTTTTCATGAGGGCTCCTTGGGTGGCTTGGAGCTCAAGAATCCAATTAGTGATTGCAAGATTGATTGACCTCATCCATTCCTCCTCCAAATTGGATCCTAATAACTTCATTAGGGTCTTTGATGATTGTCTTGACCAACAATTAGCCAAGTAATTCTTGAGAGTATTGAGCCATCCTGACCGGAGACCCGCGGGGGCTTCATAGATGCAAACAAGAAAGACGAGCGTGACAAATGCGAGGTTAAAAACATCGCCAAAGTTGGCAATGGAGTCGAGTTTGAGAAATTTGATCAGGAAATTGTTCTTGCTCGAGCCGTAACGAAGGACATCTTCAATGAAATTGACTAAGAGGCTGGAAAGTGCTTCTTGGGTTATTAAGTTGGTGGATTTAGGGTTGAATTTGAACTGCTTTGAGGTCCAAAGGGAGATGGGGAGATTGAAGTCTGCAAGTATAGCAAAAGAGAAAGTAGGGTTTTGGAGATTTTTGGAAATAGAGAGTTTGAGAGATGGTTGTGATGAACTTGAAGAACATATGGATATGGACATGGAAGGTGTTGGCCATTGAGCGATCGATGGGAGGGTTTGAATCCAGGAAAATATGTCAGGAGAGCCACAAGAAGCCATTGAACTAAGCAGATTAGTTAAAACTAATTAGGTTTTAACTAATATCCTTCCTTCTCTTTTAATTAAGGACTTGAAACATGATGTCCATTTTTATAGACTTGTAAACACTTTCCTGCGTAAATGGAAGCAAACCGGAAAAAAGCAGATTCTGATGTGACGAAAAGTCAAAAGCAAAAGCATATAATTGGTTGGGTGTTGTTCGACTGGTGAAGAAACCTTTGGATGGAAAGTTGTGCAAGAAAAATGCAATTGATGTGTGTATCATGTTATGGATATATTCAATATGTCTAATCAAGCCTTTAATTGGTGCATGATTAACTTAGAAGAAAAAAGATTTGGTTAATTATCTCAGCAACGTTGGGTGAGCTGGATGACATTAAGCTTTAACGATATGATTGGATTGACGGGGAGATTACAAACATGACTTATAACCCATTTATAAGGATATGTTAAATAACTTATTTTATTATCGATTCATAATCCATCAGGTTCAGTCCTATCCATCTTACATTTTACAATAACAAACAAAAAATTGGATTTAAGTCAATTTTAATTGGTCACAATCTATCTCAACTAGCCATCGAACAAGGAATGCAAAGTTGAATCATTGTGGCTAATGGGTTTTGACTTGGATTACATATCTTGATTGTAATCCAACAGAATAAAAAATAATGCAAAGAGGAATCATTTCTTAATAAAGTAGTTAGCTGTCGTGTATGATAGAGATTACTTTTGGTTAATTACAATATTTGGTCAACAATCTATGAGCACATGAAGCTTATGCAAGTTTGTATACAGTAGTGAATTCAGTTGCATAAATTCTGTTTGTAGGACGTTTGTTTATAATAAAAAGGGTGTGGTGTATTAATATTGTATTGATAACGTCGGAACAACATGTAGCTAGGTATTTCCTTTGCTACAAACTACTGACGAAGTATCAATCATTCTTAAATAAAAATGACCTTGTTTCATATAGTTGAACTAGTTTCGAACTTCCGGTTGTACACGTACAATTAGATTTTAATCTATTGCATCATGTAATTAGTCACAAGATAAAAGATATAGAAACATCTTAATTTGCATACAACTGGTGATATGATATAAGTGAACGCATGGCTCACCTCTTTCTTCCTAAACTATGTATGGCAGGGTGTGATGAGTATATTTTATATTATATATTTTACCCTATTCTTAGTATATTTTGGTTAATAATTTGGAAGAATTTTGATACTTTAAATTGTATTTCTAATATAGGACTTTCGACCTCTTCTGGAGCAAAACGTGGTCAAATGGACGAATTTTGGAGTAATTCCAATTGAAGGACGTTCGTGAGTCACCTGGCTTGATCGTATCAAAATATCATATTTTTCTACCATGCGATGATTTTCTGACAATAAAATAAACGAGCAATATGTAGTGCTGGAATAATGACGTTTTGCGCTTGAATTGCGTTTTTGGAGTCCAAGATGACCTCGGATGGGTCCGTGGCCTTCTGGAGATGTGTTCAGAACGTCTTGATCCTTAAAACAAGCTATTATGGGTCGGATTTAGAGGAGATTTGAAGTGAAAACATGGTTGGACAAGTACTTGGCAGATTCTCCTAATTTAATTAAGGTTTTATTTCCTAAGATATTTTATTATTTTTAGTTTCCTAGTGGAATGAGGTGGCCTATGTTTTTTTAGGGTTTTGTAGGGGGCTCAGAAAACGTGAGGGGGCTTGGCCGTTCTTAATCTTAAAAACAAAGAAGGGTTTTCTGGGATGCAACTGGCGAGTTAGAGAGAATTGCTAGGGTTCTTGAATATTTTCTACTTTAAGGTATTTTCATTCTTTTTATTATGAATAATATTTTCTATGATTTCAATTCTGAATATGCATAACTAATTCATTTTGATAGGGTGAAGCCTTAAGCCTTAACATGAATATGTGATTTTTATTTAAGTGCTTATGATTGATTGCACGCATACTTTGAATTATTGATCACCGTGATTAAAACTATCTAATTGTCTTAATGCCTGATCACCATTAGGATCTTTAGAAAAGTAATTTGATGCAATTTTGGTCGGAAGGTTCCCTAAAATTGATGCTGGCTTCTTGTGATTAATAATTGTAATTTCACTTAAGATGAACACCACGTTTTAAGGGTTGTATGGTTTTTCAAAGGGTTTTCATAAAGCATAATGAGTCTCTCATGTTCAGATTTGATCCGAACGTCTGGACGGATTGCATGTTAGATATACGTTCTATGTTAGAGGTTCCAAGTAGAATATAAATTAGGAAAACCTAACTTTCAAAGTGGCATGTGTAGATCATAAGTAATTGGTAATAATACATAGGATTGCTAGGTGATGGTGGAACCCTAGTGCTTTCTTAATTTGATTTTTCCAAAACAGTTTTCTTCACCAGTTCATTTTTAATATTGCAGATTATTTTATTTTTATTAATTAAATTCGTTTTAATTTAAGTAGGTTATAAAACCAATCATCTCAATTTTTTGCTTTACAATAATTAATTGGAATTTAGTTTGTTTCAAATTATTTAATAATCCCTGTGGAGAACGACCTTGCGAGAACCATTTTATACTGTAACAACCTTGTCTTTCTTGCAAGTAATATATGAGTTTTTAATCCGTTTGCATATGTGGTAAAATCTCTATCAGGGTGATGCAGTGCAATCCAAGCAATGCATTCTCTTCATTTACAGAAAAAAATTGTGTGCGATATCATTAGACTATGATGTTGTAGTTTTAACTAACGTGTTATAATAAAAGTGAATGATGAGCTTATATGGTTACGTCATGTGATGATAATTTGGAATGTCTTCTCGAAGTACATAATTGCGATGTTTGACAAAGAATAGTTAGATCTGAGATGGATAAGATATATATATGAAACTTGCATGCATGTATATAACTAGCGCAAGCAAACTCTCTCCGTGTTTCCAAGAAAGATATGCAGCGTGCTGGTCCGGGGCAAGTAAACTCCCTCCGTGTTTCCCATGAAAGATATGCAGCGTGCTGCAGCATCCAGAATTACGTGCAGCCGCTTCCGAGTTTTGGAGAATATTTTAAAGCTTTTTATTTGACGTGAGTTGATCAAAGTTAGACCAAACCAAAACTTAAACCAATCCCTGAAGAAATGCGTCAAGTACTGTGTTTGGCCTAACTTATCCAATCCATGCAGCATATCCAGTTATACTCCTATTGTGTAGGAATGTGAATATATCCTCCTATAGTCGAGATATGCCTAACTGACTTCTCCAGCACTACTTACTATACGTATGATAAATACTTTTCAGTCTGATGGTAGCACGATAATATCGTCACATATCCAATCAGGTTATTGTACAATATACGATATCACCGTAGTGTGACTATCACATTGTTATATTCATCGCAATCCATTTAGATACAGCAAGTGGCATATCCAGGATTCGAACCTTGGGGTTTTAATGTTAAAGGTTCAAGTTTTTTAAATAGAAACTAAGCGCACTTATTATCGTCAACCAAACCATATTGCATATATGTCAATAGATATCAATATATACCAAAGCAATCTGATGAGCTTATTGAGAGAATTTGCAGAGTGCTACCGACGTAACCTATCAAGATATGTCTAGTATGGATTACATCAAATACTTGTTGAGCACAAAGGAGACTTGTACCAAATATTCAAGGATCTTCGGAAGACCTCCACTTTATTTCTAGAACTCTGGGTCATTATGGGACTACCTTGGTCCCAATGTACATCCGCCTTTTGACAAAGCATCATGATGTGAGGAAAGCAATATTACCAATACGTTCATGAATTTTAACATCACGTAACTGTGCGACAATTACATTAAAAGTTTTTCCATGCATTGATGTTATAATGACAATAAAAGTTTTCACATTGGGCTGGTTAGGTTTGAGCCCAAGATTGAAGTTGGGCCTTCTCTGACTAGCGACCACCTAAGATTAGATAGCGTACACCTTGAAATACTCGATCTTTACCCCATTCCCCATCACCGTAACTAAATTCGCTCCAATTAAACAGCTTTTGTTGACTCCTGTTCCCTCGTGAAATAGAAAACATCCCTCCAAGACACCCGCCATCCCACGCGCCAACAATGGCCGCCCCACCGACACTCCCGATCTCCAACTCCCAAACGACCGTCGGCGCCCAATCGCAGCCTCCCATTGCCACGCCGGCCTTCCGCGCGTTCATCTCGCGCTTATCCTCCTCCGTCCGCCACGGCTTCTCGCAGCGCCGCCCCTGGTACGAGCTCGTGGACCGGAGCGCCTTGGCCCGACCCGACTCCCTCACCGAGGCCTACTCCCGGATCCGCAAGAATTTCACCTACTTTCGCGTCAACTACGTTTCCCTACTCACCCTCGTACTCGCCCTCTCGCTGCTCACCCATCCTTTCTCTCTCGTCGTCCTGCTTTCCCTCCTCGGCGCGTGGGCTTTCCTCTACCTGTTTCGGGCGTCCGATCAGCCCCTGGTCATCCTCGGCCGCACTTTCTCCGACGCGGAAACATTAATCGGACTCGTCGTGCTGACCGTGGTCGTCGTCTTCATGTCCAGCGTCGGCTCGCTCCTGATCTCGGCTTTGTTGATCGGATTCGCCATTGTTTGCGCGCACGGGGCGTTCAGGGTTCCAGAGGACCTGTTCCTCGACGAGCAGGAGCCCGCCAACGCCGGATTTCTCTCTTTCCTCGGCGGCGCCACCTCGTCTGCCGCTGCCTCCGTAGCCGGACGTGTCTAAATGGATCTCGTCTCAAGCACGCGTCGGATTGATCGCTGTAAAGGTTGGTGAGGCCAAACCCTTTGTGTACTGATCTGTGCAATTGGTATTCTTGTAGGTATAAAGAAACTTAATTTGATTGGGGAATTTTGGAGCGGAAATTGTAGGGTTTTATGTAGATTTGCCTGAAGTTTTTATTTCTGTTTTATTTATTTAGTCAAATTTTGATGATGATGAATTTAGTTATTAATTCATTTCATTATTCTGATTATTTGGTGATTAGTGCTTAATCATGAGTAATTTGATTTTCCAGATTCACATGAATAATTTGTGTAGAACTGGATGAAGGTTTGCTTGTTGAAAACTTAGGAAAAGCCAGGGCAGTGTGCTTCCTCTCCATAGTTTAGATTAAGTTCATTAGAATTTCGATCGGATAAGAAAAACTTCAGCATCAATGTACTTGTTCATTGTTGGGTGTGTTATAGTACGACAATAGGTATTACTTAAAGAATTGTGGGATGAGAACAATATTTTATTGGATTCGGATATCCGCCATTGATGACGCAGTTGGAGGGTGTAATGGTGGTTTTGGTCATGGTGGTATTGAATTGTGGGATGATAACAATATTTGATTGGATTCGGAGATCTGCCATTGATGACACAGTTGGAGGGTGTAATGGTGGTTTTGGTCGCGGCGGTATTGAAGTGTGGGATGAGAACAATATTTGATTGGATTCGGGGATCTGCCATTGATGACACGGTTGGAGGGTGTAATGGTGGTTTTGGTCATGGCGGTATTGAATTGTGGGATGATAACAATATTTGATTGGATTCGAAGATCCGCCATTGATGCCACGGTTGGAGGGTGTAATGGTGGTTTCAATCATGGCGGTTTTCAAACATCTTGTGTTGATAGAATTTCATTTCATTATGATGATTAACTAAGCGCAAACTTGTTAAGTTTAGAGTTGATGAAGCCAAATTGACGGGAATACGATTATTTCTGAAACGATGCTCTCTCTGTGCCCATGTTTTGTTTCTGGTAGATAAGTTGAGCCGGCTAGTGTTGTTAAGCCAGGTGGGTTGCATCATTGATTCATTGTTAGGTTGGGGAAATACTTGTTAGCTGCACTTGACTATACTCGTTTATTTTGTTTTGATTTGAAGTAGTCATAAGACGGGATTTTCTTAAACGCGGGGTTTGAGTAGTTGATCAATCGACAGAATGCAGCCAGTTGACCGGCTGCTCTCATTCTGCAGCCATCCTGCAAGATTTGTCCTGCATTTTTGAGTTAATAACATCTATGCTGATTGCTTCGAATGAATATCTGTTATTTCCCCACGGTCCTCGATTTGAATAAATTTTCGGAACAATGACTTTGTTTTATGCATGTTTCTTGGTCTTAATGTTTGTTCTTATACCGGCACTAGTACTAGGGGTCTGGTATTTCTCATTATTTGTAAGTGAGAAGTTATAAGCTCGACACGTAATTATATTTGGTCGATTGTGTCGCCATATCCCCACCCGCAATATCATAGTATGAATAATGCTTCTTGTGATTCCTTTGCTTCGTTGATTGTGTTCAATTGGTTGGCTTGTTACCAGATGAATACAATGAATGGCTTAACAAGGTCAGTTTGTTATTATCGAATAACTACTACCTTTATATCTACCGGAAATTAGGTGGCACTAGACTATTGATGTTAACTACGGGCTTGGTTACAAGTGTTTTTAAAATGATTGAAATTAATTCTTAATAAAAATTCAAGTGAATCTTGGAAAATCATTTTAAGTGCTTGTGCTTCTTTCAAAAAGCACTAAAAATGCTTTTGGAACTTAAATCAATTTTACTAAAAACGTTTTCAGTCATTTTAAAACCACTTGCATACGTGTACTATGATTACATCATGCAATTGTATTTTTTTTTCAAAACAGAACAAAATTGAACGTACACTAATTTACCACATGGCAAACGATTAATATTCAGGATAAACATCTATTGAATGGGTGACATTACTTGAATTATGTATTTTTGAACCAAGACTCATAATGGGTTAGTCATAGTAATTTGGTTCGAATTCACCTATGGCGAGAGTTGAACGTAATACATGTTACTTGCAAGTAAAGCAAAATACCACTAGATCGTCATATTACGTAGCCATTGAAATTACGTATTGGTTGTAAGTGAGAATCTCGCGAATTGAAGTTTAGAAATTCTCTTTTATTGTGAATGGTGTCTTATAGATGATGTAATTAGCCACCCTGCCCAAACTTTTCTCCAGTTGTGCGTTTTGGGCCAACCCAAAAACAGAAATCAAAGTGGACTTCGTACTTCCTCATACTATCAAACCCCATAGAAAAATCAGTTGCTTAAATTAAAGGAAGCTTTAACAAAAAACTCACAGTACTGTTCACTTTAACGAAAAATCACATTTTTACATTAAAAAGTCAATCCTTATACTATTCATTTTACCCTTTATTTTGAGTCGAAGTACATTTTAATGAAAAACCATATCATTGTGAAATATGATGATTGCCTAGAGCTCGTTTAGAAATTCATTTAAAATAAGTGGAAGTACATTTTGAGTTTTAAAAGTACTTAAGTGTTTTTTCATGTTTTATTTGTATTTTTTTAAGGATTAATTCCAAAAATATTATGTTAAAATCACTGTCGATCATTTCAAAAGTACTTCCAAAACCGTTATAAGTTTTAAATAAAATAAAATAAAAGGAAAACTAATGAAAATGGCTTGAAAACTTTAAGTTTTAACGATAATGACAAAATAAATGTTAAAGTGAATAGTACAATGATTGACTTTTTAATGTAAAAATATAATTTTTCATTAAAATAAACAGTATTAGAAACTTTTCGTTAAAATTTCCTAAAATAAATGATTCATTTCTTCTTCATCAGCCGCAACAAAAAATAAAACGAGAAAAGGATGTACCTTCTTCTTCTATCTTTTCTTTCTGTCAAAAATTAAATAAAAATCTGGACCACCACATCATTCTAAAACTTCTCTATTTTGAGGGGACCATGACGTGGCCCGCTTCCATTGGCTAATGAGGTCGGGCCCAAGTCCTCAAATAGTCAAAACCTAACATTTTTGTTTTCCAACATGAATGATGAAACGAGAGGTTAAGCCGTAATGGACCACTTTCTCGAGCCCTCACCTATTTTTTCCTCCTCCTTAAAGAAATAAAAGAGATATTCTTATGTACGGCGGCTATGATTGTTACGATGACTTCCTATTTTTTCTCCTCCTCAAAGAAATAAAAGAGAAATTCTTATGTACAACGGTTATGATTGTTAAGACGACTTTCTTTACAATGTTTCTTAGCATTCGAGCCATTTGGTTTTCCATCATCCATTAATGGCCGCATAAACGGTTAGAATTTGTCAGCGAACGACAAGAATTGAACTCTCACACGGTGGATTCACAATCCATTGGGTAGAGGACCATCTAAGTCTGTGGTAATCATTAAAGAAGCACACAAGGAAGACCTCATAAACTTGGTTCTACCAAATTAGGAAGACCTAAGTGCAGAGAATATGTGACATAGCACGGGCGCCCTACACAAAATCTCTCTTAAAGAGAGTGCGATATACCGCCCAGGCGAAGCCAAAAAAAGTGCCCTCACTTCATATAAAAAAAAATTATTTATTTTTACACATGAGATATTGATAACATTATATTTACAAAAACACTTCAAACTCAGTAATTTAAACATGGAAAAACTAATTTATTTTCTTTCGAGAAAAGGAAACAAAAAAACTTCAGGCTTACAAGTAGATAGATTATGAGTTTTGTCTTCCATCTGAACTTTTAAAGTGTTTTTGTATAAATGGTGAGGTATTTTTTTCTTATTTACTAACCTCGTCAATATAAGACTAAAAAAAATAATGATATTTTCGAGTTTTTAAGGATATGTATACATAATGAATAGGCACCAAATTAAACCTTTTAATGACACGTCATATGATTTGCCAATTTGGTCTAAAAATTTAGTCTACGCATTACCCTTTGTTGGAGATTAGACTTGAAATAGAATGAATGTTTAAAAATAGCAACCCACATAGTTACTAGCTAGTAATTAAAAATAAATTAACAACCAAACAAAAATTCGTAAAAATTGAAAAAAATAAACATGCACATAGCATTTTGAACTTAGGACCTCTCATCCTAATTTTAAATACAAAAAGCATTGTTTCTAATCAAACTTCTGATCATTTAGCCAAATTTTATAAATTTATACTGTTACGAAAGGAAATTCGCAAAAATTGGAATTTAAATAAGCACACATGGTGTTTTGAACTCAAGACCTTCTCATTAATTTCAAACAACAAAATCACCAGTTCTAGTTAAATTTCTTTGTCATTAAACCAAATTTTATAAATTTATACTCTTATGAAAATGTATATAAATATGCCACACTAATAATTTTAGTGCCCCTAATTTTTTTGGGTATCGGAAGGTCGCCCTGACCGCATTGGGCCTGGGTCAGCCTTGTATATTGCGATGAGGTCAAATCATCATCAGCGCTATAAGTTGTACATAATTACGTATCCATTTTACTCTTCACATGTCACATAGTTGTATACAACTTACAATAGGAGAAATTTTGTCAACGTGTAAGGCACCAACCACCTCTAATGGTTATTTATTTATACAAACGATAGTGTAGAAGAGTAAATTCAAATCTAAGACCTTTAATGCAGAGTAACAATTTTCATTTTCGTTATTACTTGAGCTGTAAGTCTTTTCCACCACATCGGTTAATTTTACTAATAGAATCGATGATGAGGGCAAAACAGTCATTCCACAAAAATGACAGAAAAATTAAGAAGTTGCCGGATGCAGTAGTAGTTGCTGCAGGCTTTTGCACCTGACGATGTTTAAAACGGCGGGACCCGCCAGAGGGAAAGATAGCCGTTGGAGGGGGAGGAGGAGCCAGTGGAAGCAATAAAAAAACCCCAACTTCAACAAGTTCAGTTCAACCTTCCCACCTCCATCCACGAGATCATCGAGATGTTCAAATTATTATACAAACACACACACACACACACACACACACACACACACATATATATATATATATATATAATGCATGAAGAAAAGAAATATAAAAACCCTAGGCATTGGCCCATTGCCATTTATGAATTCAGCAATCGAAACTAGCCGTTAGGATTTTCTGTAGGAAGAAGAGCGTCCGCCACCCACATGACATTTTCTCTCTCCACCCAATACAACAGTAACAATCAAGATTCTCTCTCTCTCTCTCTCTCTCTCTCTCTCTCTCTCTAAACTCAGAGAATCCTCACGTGCCCAGTCCCAGTCGTCACTAAAACACCCACCTTCAGGCTTTCAATCCCACCAACTTCTTTTTCTCCTGTTCCATTCCCTCCTTCTCTCCCTCGCCCTCTCCCTCCAGCATTCTCACTTTCTCTCTCTAGAATCCAACACAAACAGTTCGCCGTTGTTGGTGGTCTGTTTCTGACCATGGACAGCAAAGATCAAATCTTTCACACATTTTCCGACAACCCATCTCAAAATTGGCACCAGATTTCCGACAAGAAGAAGGAAAAATGGAAGTTTCTTACTCTGCAATCCAAGTGCGCGCACTTCCTCCTCTTTCTCCACCTCCTCCTCTCCTTCCTCAACCCGGCCCGGCCCCAAATATGGGACGGCGTCATTGTCACGGCGGCGGACTACCAGTCCCTTCAAGCAATCAAGCACGAGCTCGACGACCCAAAGGGGTTCTTAAGGAGCTGGAACGACAGCGGATACGGAGCCTGCTCCGGCGGCTGGGCCGGAATCAAGTGCGCTCAGGGGCAGGTGATTGTGATCCAGCTTCCATGGAAGGGGTTAGGTGGCAGAATCTCCGAAAAAATGGGACAGCTGCAGGCTCTGAGGAAGCTCAGCCTCCATGACAACCAGATTGGAGGGTCAATCCCTCAATCTTTGGGGTACCTTCCAAGCCTTAGGGGAGTTCAATTATTTAACAATAAACTTTCTGGTTCAATCCCAATTTCTTTAGGGTTCAGTCCTCTGCTTCAAAATCTTGATCTCAGCAACAATTTGCTCGTTGATAACATCCCAGACAGCATTTTTAACTCCACCAAACTTTACAGCCTGAATCTGAGCTTCAATTCGCTTTCGGGTTCCATCCCGGGTAGTCTCTCCCGCTCACGTTCCCTCATATTCCTTTCTCTCGACCACAACAATCTTTCCGGCTTGATCCCGGAGTCTTTAGGCAGGTTGAGTGACCTTCAAGAGCTTGAACTTGGAAATAACCAGTTCGATGGAGCTATACCGAATGAAATAGGGCGGCTTTCGAGGGTTAGAATTTTAGATATTTCTAACAATGCCATCAATGGAAGCTTACCTTCTAGCTTCTCCAATCTCTCCTCTCTAACCGAGTTGAATCTAGAAGGAAACAACATCGAAAGCGAAATCCCGGAAGGTCTTGGAAGCTTGAAAAACCTCTCTGTTCTTAACCTGAGGAAGAACAAATTGCAGGGTCCGATTCCTGCAGCTCTTGGCAACATTTCGACGCTCACCCGCCTCGATTTGTCGCTGAATAATGTCAGTGGTGAAATTCCAGCTTCTCTTGCCGGTCTATCACATCTTGGTTTCCTCAATGTTTCTTACAACAACCTCTCTGGTGCTGTCCCCGCTCTTCTCTCTCAGAAGTTCAATTCGAGCTCTTTCGCCGGGAATGTTCAGCTGTGCGGGTACAGTGCTTCAACTCCATGCCCTTCCGAGGCACCATCACAGAGGGTCCCGCCTCCGGGCCCGGAGACTTCGAAGCACCGCCGCAGACTTAGTACCAAAGATAAAATTCTTATAGCAGCAGGGGTTCTTTTGTTAGTGTTGTTTTTACTCTGTTGCATTCTGCTCTGCTGTTTGATAAGAGGAAGAGCTGCATCGAAAGGCGAGGATGGCGCAGGCGCGGGGAGGGCTGGAGCTGCGAGGACTGAAAAGGGTGTTCCGGCAGTTGGGGGAGAAGCTGAATCCGGCGGAGAGGCTGGAGGAAAACTGGTGCATTTTGACGGCCCAATGGCTTTCGCAGCAGATGATCTTCTGTGCGCAACCGCGGAGATTATGGGGAAAAGCACTTTTGGGACTGTCTACAAGGCGACATTGGAGGACGGGAGTGAAGTTGCAGTGAAGAGATTGAGAGAGAAGATTACGAAAAGCCAGAGGGAATTCGAGACGGAAGTGAATGTGCTTGGGAAAATCAGGCACCCGAATCTTCTGGCTCTGAGGGCTTATTACTTGGGACCTAAGGGAGAAAAGCTTCTGGTTTTCGATTACATGCCGAAAGGGAGTCTTGCAGCATTCCTCCATGGTAAGCCTAATGCAAATGATTTTAAGTACTTTGTATTCAATTTCGGTTTATCGGGTTTTGATTTTTCTCAATTTGGTCGCTGTGTTTGATTTCGTTGCAGCTCGAGGGCCGGAAACTCCGATTGATTGGCCAACAAGAATGGGAATAGCAAAGGGCGTGGCAAGAGGTCTCTCCTACCTCCACGGCAATGAGAACATTATCCATGGAAACCTCACATCCAGCAATGTTCTACTTGATGAGCAGAACAGCGCCAAGATCTCGGACTACGGCCTCTCCCGCCTCATGACCGCCGCTGCCAATTCAAATGTGATTGCAACCGCCGGGGCACTAGGGTACCGAGCCCCGGAGCTCTCAAAGCTCAAGAAGGCCAACACGAAAACTGATGTTTACAGCCTTGGGGTGATCATATTGGAGCTCCTTACAGGGAAATCTCCTGGTGAGCCGTTGAACGGTTTGGATTTGCCGCAGTGGGTTGCCTCCATTGTAAAAAAGGAGTGGACTAATGAAGTTTTCGACTTGGAATTGATGAGGGACGCTTCTATGATCGGCGACGAGCTGCTAAACACACTGAAACTAGCTCTGCATTGCGTTGATCCTTCGCCGTCTGCAAGGCCGGAAGTTCAACGGGTTCTGCAGCAGCTAGAGGAGATTAGACCCGAAACAGCCACCAGTTCCCGCGATGACTGAGCTGGAGCCCCATCAGCAAGTGATGAGTGAAAAATGGTTTCCAGCAAAAGGGGTTCGGTAGGCATATTAGGAAGAGGCTATGGCTAGTCTAAGATTCTTTCATTCTTGAATATTAATTTTGCTTTTGTTACACTTCATCAGTGTTCGTAGATACAATTTTTCTAAATAAGCGATTCCAACCCAACAAGGTTCTCCCACTTTGCAAGGGCGATTCCAACCCTATATCATACGCAGCCTTATTCTTGCTTTGCAAAGAGGTTTCCACGACTCAAATCTGTAACATTTTGGTCACAAATGATTTATTTGCATTAACTTAAAGAGTTTTGTGATTGTGTTGGTCGTTCTAATTCCAAGGCATATTTAATTATACAATAACTTCAAAGTCTTATCGTGCTAAGGGAGATCGGTCGTAGAATCTTAAATCGTCATTGCACTCGATTTTGCACCAAGTCTTTTGTTAATTCCAAGTACAAAGCTCAAGAAGGCCAACACGAAAACTGATGTTTACAGCCTTGGGGTGATCATATTGGAGCTCCTTACAGGGAAATCTCCTGGTGAGCCGTTGAACGGTTTGGATTTGCCGCAGTGGGTTGCCTCCATTGTAAAAAAGGAGTGGACTAATGAAGTTTTCGACTTGGAATTGATGAGGGACGCTTCTATGATCGGCGACGAGCTGCTAAACACACTGAAACTAGCTCTGCATTGCGTTGATCCTTCGCCGTCTGCAAGGCCGGAAGTTCAACGGGTTCTGCAGCAGCTAGAGGAGATTAGACCCGAAACAGCCACCAGTTCCCGCGATGACTGAGCTGGAGCCCCATCAGCAAGTGATGAGTGAAAAATGGTTTCCAGCAAAAGGGGTTCGGTAGGCATATTAGGAAGAGGCTATGGCTAGTCTAAGATTCTTTCATTCTTGAATATTAATTTTGCTTTTGTTACACTTCATCAGTGTTCGTAGATACAATTTTTCTAAATAAGCGATTCCAACCCAACAAGGTTCTCCCACTTTGCAAGGGCGATTCCAACCCTATATCATACGCAGCCTTATTCTTGCTTTGCAAAGAGGTTTCCACGACTCAAATCTGTAACATTTTGGTCACAAATGATTTATTTGCATTAACTTAAAGAGTTTTGTGATTGTGTTGGTCGTTCTAATTCCAAGGCATATTTAATTATACAATAACTTCAAAGTCTTATCGTGCTAAGGGAGATCGGTCGTAGAATCTTAAATCGTCATTGCACTCGATTTTGCACCAAGTCTTTTGTTAATTCCAAGTACAAAGCTCAAGAAGGCCAACACGAAAACTGATGTTTACAGCCTTGGGGTGATCATATTGGAGCTCCTTACAGGGAAATCTCCTGGTGAGCCGTTGAACGGTTTGGATTTGCCGCAGTGGGTTGCCTCCATTGTAAAAAAGGAGTGGACTAATGAAGTTTTCGACTTGGAATTGATGAGGGACGCTTCTATGATCGGCGACGAGCTGCTAAACACACTGAAACTAGCTCTGCATTGCGTTGATCCTTCGCCGTCTGCAAGGCCGGAAGTTCAACGGGTTCTGCAGCAGCTAGAGGAGATTAGACCCGAAACAGCCACCAGTTCCCGCGATGACTGAGCTGGAGCCCCATCAGCAAGTGATGAGTGAAAAATGGTTTCCAGCAAAAGGGGTTCGGTAGGCATATTAGGAAGAGGCTATGGCTAGTCTAAGATTCTTTCATTCTTGAATATTAATTTTGCTTTTGTTACACTTCATCAGTGTTCGTAGATACAATTTTCTAAATAAGCGATTCCAACCCAACAAGGTTCTCCCACTTTGCAAGGGCGATTCCAACCCTATATCATACGCAGCCTTATTCTTGCTTTGCAAAGAGGTTTCCACGACTCAAATCTGTAACATTTTGGTCACAAATGATTTATTTGCATAACTTAAGAGTTTTGTGATTGTGTGGTCGTTCTAATTCCAAGGCATATTTAATTATACAATAACTTCAAAGTCTTATCGTGCTAAGGGAGATCGGTCGTAGAATCTTAAATCGTCATTGCACTCGATTTTGCACCAAGTCTTTTGTTAATTCCAAGTACACCATATTCTTCCTCTACCTTTTTCACTCTTAACCTCTAAGGCATACTTAATTAAAAATTAAAATACAAGGTTTAAATAGTCCTCCGTGCAACCGCATATGAAGTCTAGTTTATCAACGACTTATTGACAATCATCGAAAATTGCACATCCCACCTTAAAAAACGACATAGCTTGCCAAAAAGCCAACTTAGAGTGAGAACAAAGGCATACATACGTTTTGCTAAAGTTTCACATCGAATTGATCGAATTAATTCTAGTCTAATGATTGATGATGTCTTAATCATATTAACTTATTTAACCTCAATTTGTTCTTATTAATCCACTAAGACGCAGTGTTCGATACTTAATGCAAGAAAACAGACCCCTCTCTCACAAAATTAGTATCCATCTCATCACCGATATGTTATAATTCTCCAGTCGCGTGATGAGAGAGATACTAATAGCGCGATCTACCGGGAGTAGATATTAGAATCTCTAGTCAACTATAGGTCTGCTTGGATCAAACATAAAAACTATGCATTGAAGGTTAAAATAGTCTTCTGAGGCCTATTTTTGGTTGGTTAGGATGAAAGTTTGTTGGGGTATATCGCAAATGGGATGTAACTAGTGTACATGCACGAAATGCAGAGACACAGAATGAAAAGCTAAACACGAAAATTTTACGGCCAACAATGTCAGCTGGCATCATTCTCATTCGCATACCCGCTTGTTTCTTCCGCAAGCTTCTCCCAAGCATTCGCCATCTTTTCCGCGTATCCAGCCTGTTAGATGTGAAGAACGTACCATAACTATTATTCAAGGACTTACAAAATGAAGTTGAGATGCCGTTTGAAGCGAAAACTTTACAAGAGCACGAACAATGAATGAGGTTTAGAGCAGGAGATACCTGGTTAAGAACAAATCCTCTCAGCATGCCCATGAAGTCCTCGTGCCTCTCTCTGTCAAGCCTTTCGAGCTCACTCCTGTTATTTTCCTGCATGTAGATTCACCAACAATCATGCTTCGAGATTGTACACAAACACATTGTGTATAAAATGAGATCTTTCTTCTTCCAATCAAATTAGAACTCTTTAGTTTGGCATTGTGACTAATCAAAATGGGAACTGAAACAAACATTTGCTTAGCAAGGAATTCTAGTAGTTATAATCGAATGACAAGATAAAGAATATTCAGCGGCATGAGCTGAATGCATTAGATAACACATGAAGGGCAACGAAATGACCACAACGTGTTTCCAATCCTATCCCTAAATCTAGGGCATGAATTTTGAGATCCCTTGGCATTTGCCCGCCTCCACTAAATGTCATGAGAAAATGGAAAGACTAGAGGAAGAGGAAAGAACTACGGTTTTGAAGTTAGTTTAGAGAATGGGTAGATAATCTGACCAGTTAGTCCAGCTGCACAAGCTTAACGTGGACCAAAAGCCAGCATGAATGAATGTTAAATAAAAATTGGTTGCCAGAAACAGAAGCCACACAAATATTTTCATGTTAGTTCAGTAAGAATGAAGAACCGTCAGGTGCGCATGCACAAAAGCAATTTATACATGATGGTGTATCTTACCACATTTCACCATCTAAAATTTGAATAACATGCTACTGAAGTACGGCAAGTAGCACATGCTTTAACGGCGGAGGACCAAAAGAAGAATAACAGCTCCATCTGATAACTCTCTTATCTTGTTGATTAGTTTTGTTGCTTCCTTTCTCAATTAGTACTTGGGCCTATGAGAACTAACGTAATATTCTTTTATCATGCAATCAAGAATGTTCTAGAGAGTATTTCTTCTATCTTTTCCTTGTTGCTTCAAGGGTCCTGTGGTGGATTCGAAGATTCTCTTTGGGTGTAGAAGTAACCTACCCTACCCACTTTTGGTTCTGCGTCAGTTGGTATTGACTAGATTTCTCTCAATTTGAAACACCAATGCAAAACATATCACGGTGAAATCTCAGAATAACAGCTCCCTAGGGTGTACTTCTCAATTTCGGAGGCGAAGCCCCTGGAGTGATTCCAGACCCTCTCTTGTTATTTCTATTTGTTGCTTTTATTTGTTTTTCTTCCGCTAAGCCGCTTATTGTCTTAATCAAGCTATATACTACATCATATGTACTTAAAAACGTAAGATTTCTAAAAATAACTAATACTAGCACAATGCATAACTGTTTGCAGATTTTAGGTCATAAAAAGGAAGAGGGGAAATCTATATAGGGTGCTAGTAACTATCATCAAAATGAATCTAGAACTCGTAGATGCAAACTGAATTGCGTAATTTCTAGATGCCTTAAGAGCTTACCTTGATGCGTTCATACTCTCTGACTGCACAAGATTTAGCATCCTCACTAATCTTTAAAGTTTCTTTAAGCTCCTCTATTTTCCGCATCCTGGACCTGTCTCCACCAAATATTTTGGATGCTGCAGCTTCAAGCTTCTCAATCCTGGACTGCAACGAAACTAATTCCGACGAAAGAGTCTGAACCGTCAGTAAAGCACTTGATCTGTCTGAAATTGCACTATTGACTGCCAGCATTACTCCAAGATATTCATGGAGTTTGTCCTGCGATAAATATGTAACATTAGGCTAAGATAACAAGAGAATCAAATATGACTCCTTTTCCGCAAATTTAATGTCTAGACATATATAGCTTATGTACGTTACCAAATGTTTGACCGTTTGCGCATTTAACTCCCGGTACAATCGGCTAGCTTTAACAGAAGCAGTAGCCACATTTTTCATGTCATTGGCTCGTACTGTTTGAGGTTCGAACATGGCTCCCTCCGTCTCAAGCTTGGTCAGCTTCACAAATGCCAACCCCAATTCCCCCAGAGTCTCTCCCATGTCCTGCTGAGCTTTTACTAGTGATTCAGCCTGCAAAAAGCGAAAATCTCGTTCATTCTCCTCTACCGTATTCTAAATTGCCAAATTTAGAACAGACAATGCTCATCAACAGAAATGGTAAGCTCTTAACTTCATAATCCCGTAACTAATCCTACTGGAGTCGAAATATTTCATACATTTTGATCGAAATGATCACGCTAGTTCAGTTGGCACTTGCAACTATCTAAATCTTCAAGTGCATCACAATAATTAACTACCATTTGAACTTGAACATACTAATTATGTTGAATTACCAGAAAGAACCCATAAATTAGCAACAATACCTGCTGAGACAAATTGCTAAGCTGCTGCTCAAACTCGGCCACCTTCTCCTTCCTCTCCAAAAATTCTTTATCATCCTCAACCGCCATCGGCTTCACTCCGCCCCAATCGTTCACCACCGCCTGCTTCAGCTCCCTGAAGATCCTCAGCAAGTCCCTGCCGCCCTTGGCCGGCTGCGCAGCCTCATTCACATCTGTCACGACAGCCACCTCCCCCGTCAGCTGCCTTGGTAGCCTCACTGCTCCATCGAGCACCCGCGACGCCATGTCGATGCTTCTTGTTAGCGGTAGCTTCCCCTTCACCACCAAAAACAGCCTCAGCTCCTCGCTCTTCTTGATCGTCGGATGCACCGCGAGCTTGTTCAGGTACTTCGCCAGTGCCGCCCTCCGCAGCTCCACGAACTGCTCGATTTGCATCACCTGGCTCTCCACCACGCTCTTATCGGGTCGGATCGGGATGAAGAACCCACGGAACGATTCGGATAGCCGGTCCGACAGCGTCACCACGTCCTTGAACCGCCTCCGTAGGGTGAATTCGGATCCGGGCCCGCCGTACTCGGGCATGTTGGTCCGGGTGGTGATCAGGTACGTGTAGTACGAGGTCCCGCCGGGAACGAGCGAATTGTTGAGCTCGAGCTCCTTCTGAGGCTCCGAGACCCATATCTTGAGAAATTCGGATCTTGTCGGAGGCTCCGATTGATAAGTTGAGGGCCTAGGGCTTTCGTGGCCGTTGGATGAGGAGGAATCGAACGAGGTGAAGATGGCGTCGGCGTAAGACGGGGGTTCAAGGATGGAATTGAAGCCTTGCGAGGATGTGGCCGTTGTTCCGGTGGCGGAGTGGCGGTCCACGGAGGTGGACGCGGAGGGCGAGGATTGGCCGTTGGATGAGGGTGGCTCGTCAAGGACGAGAGATTCCATGTCATCTTGGGATGCATGTAGGTCGGCCTCCTGGTCGCCGTGGTTTTCCTGCCTCATCATTTTCCCCCTTATTTTTTGCCGGGAAATTAAAAATTAATGATAAATAAATGAATAAATGGAGGGAGGTGGTGGTGGTGGCGGTGGAAGAGCTGTTGCTGCGTGTGAAACCGGGGATGACACGGCAAAGGTAGTGAGTTTTTAGTGAGTAGCGAGTTGAGTGACTCGGGTGGCCCAATGGGCAACCTCTTTTGCGTACGTGGCGGTTATGACGCTGCTTCCGCCACATAGGCTGCCACGTGTTAACGACAATGCATGAGAAGTTGGGCTTTTATTGGGCTTCTGTTGAGAGGCCCAAGTAGGCTTGATTGAGCTTTGATTGGGCTTTGTCGACAGCCAATTATATCGTATAAGGTGGTTGGGCGTCAACGTAAAAAGTCCGGAATGAAACAGAATGTGGGCCGGAACGGAAGCTTTTGTAGGGTTGGGCCTGCAAGATTTGACTTCACAAGGACTCAATCTGAGTTTTATGTTTGGGTTAATTCAAATTAACAATATACTAAAGTTTGAAAGTAGGCCACGCACTTCTAATTGTACCGAGACATTTCGAAATAATTTAGAGCATGAGTGAGAGTTATCACCTATCATTGTTGTTGAGTCTATTTGGTTAAGTTGGAGGCAACATTAACGCATGATTGAACTTGGTAGTGGACCACTTACAAATTCTATTCAACAGATAAATGATCGGTTGAGAGGCCATACAATTATGATTCGCTTGACAAAGCCCTAAGTGGACACCATATTTCAGTGTGTCCGATTTTTTGTTGTTTTATCTTGGAGAAAAAGAAAATAAGAACTCTCTCTCTCTCTCTCTCTCTCTCTCTCTCTCTCTCTACTGGAAAAGATGTTTGATTTACATAATTGCTAGTAAGGTTGAATATTTAACACATATGTTTCTTTGAAATTGTGTGTGTGTTTATTTTGTTTCAAATCTTTTCAAATTTTGAATGATGTTTATCGTATTTAAATTCTGTATTATCTTTTATTACGTTACGTATCTTTGTTTTTCATATGTTTTTCAAAAACACATAAGTGGTTATAAGGAAGCACGTAGTTTCCATCCAAATTGCAGATTAACTTGAAGAGATATATGATTGAATCACAAAAGGATTGAGGATTAGTCTTTGATGGATTTTATTGCATAGTATGAACTATGAAACATTATTGAGGACCTGTGATGACCATATACATATTAGTCACAATATTATATTAGTTTAGATTAAATGCTTGAAATGTTTAATAACTTAATAAAGCAAAACGATATAATGAGGGCATGTTTGGTGTCGTATTTAAAAAAAAATTCATAGTTTCTCAAAACATTTCTTAAGAACATGTTTTAAGAACACTTTTGTTTGAGATCCAAAAACTTGTTTGCTATGAGACTGAATTTTTTTTTAAATTTTAATAATTAAAAAGGAAATAAAATATCTACAACAACCCAATTGGCAGGTCAGAGCAGAGGGGAGATTAGAGAGAACAAGAGAGAGGAGAGATATGGTAGAGAGAAAAATAGGGAGTGAGAAAAGAAGAGAGAGAAAAAGTAGTGGATTTTGGATTTTTTTTTTGAACAAACGATGTTATTTACATTAAAGAGAGGGAAAGTGTGGGTTTAACCTCACAATGGACTAGCAATAATGTGGTTCAAATTCGCGTTTGACCAGAATCGAACCTAATACCTCTCACTTACATGTGAAGAGAAATACCACTAGACCGTAATACTAAGTGGCAGTGAATTTTGGAGTTTAAAACGTTTAAAAATTCACTTTATGTGTTTTATAGAAGTAGGCTAATTTTCAAGTTTGTTTAGAATTCAGTTTTTGAAAAATAATCCTTTCAAACAAGTATTCAAGTTGTAAAACTTAAAAATTGGTTTTGAGTCTAAAACGTTGGATTCAAGTAGAATACAAAATAGGCTCTAATTTCTCTAATGGTTATTAAGTTGTTAAATATTTTAAATATTTGAATCTAAACTAATATAATATTTTAGTTAATATGAATTTAGTTCTCACACGAGGGCTTAGGAGAGCAGCATTATAGGATATAAGAATTAATACATTTCACAAAAAAAGAAAGGAAGTATCCCACACGTCATTTAGGGTGTGAAAAGCTTGCAAAAGTCCCCTTTTGGGGTCAAGAAAGCACTAACGACATAATTAGAATTGTAATTAACTTCACACCCACCGGCAACTACCAATGAAAACGATCGAAAACCCAAGAAAATGAGAAATTTTTCATTATGACCGGAACACTGTACATTATATATTTTTATATAAGTGGTAGAAAATTTTATTTTTTAAGTTATTAATTTTTGAACACATATGGTACACCATTTGTATAGTAACACGTGATATACCATCTTGTGCACCGATCACATTGAAAAATAAAAATAATTTATTAAATTAAAAAAAAAATCGACCCATTTGAAAAAAGCAAGACAAAAGTACTAGATGGACAAAGTTTGACAAGGAAACTTGTGGTTTCTTAGCATAACGAATTCTATTATTGTACTTGTGGCGGGTTGTCAAAGGAAGAACTTGTGGTTTCTTAGCATAACGAATTCTATTATTGTGGTTGTCAAAGGAAGATTCTGAAATTAAAAGTCAATATATAACAAACTCTACCAACTACATGTTAATTGCTGTCATGTAATCTTGTTTACCTATCTAATCCAATTATCTAACACCTCCCCTCCCTCTCGATCTTCTTCCTTTCTTTCACTTTCTGATCGAGTTTCTGGTGTGTGGACATCAGATGACATGCTTCCATTCAAAGTGACGACTAACTAAATTCCTGTCTGCGAGTAATTAGGTAATTAGTTGGTCGATTTGGCTTTGTCAATCGTTATCACTTGCAAGCTTGCATGTACTCATTTTTTTAATAGAAAATATCGGCAATACGAGGAGAATTTTATTGATAACGAAAAAAAGGGTTACATCTAGTTAGGAGGAATATAAACTTTACTTCTCATAAAACAAAGAAAAAAATATATATACATGAAAAAAGAGAGGAGGGGGTGTAGAATTATCAAAGAGATGGGCCGAGGATCCACTTTCAACAACACCGATATTGTCCCCAACTTGGTAATTATTACATGCACAATCCATCAGGTGTACAGTTTTACCACAAAAGACCTCGGTATTAGTTAGAGGGGACTAGGGTATTTAAACTCTTCTTTTCTAATAGATACGATTGATGTGTGACATTTCAACAGGAGGATATGAAGCCTAATCTCTCTAAAGTCAAACTTAAAAGGTCTAAACCTACAAAACAAGTCGAACAACACCACAAGGTTAGGAAAAAAAAACAAGAAAGTGAGACAAATCTTTATGCCAAGATGTACATTAATTTTAGAAGTGGAAGATATACCTATATTTATAAGGGAGTGGCGGGGCATTTGTTAACGTTTTAAAAGCGTTCGTCACATGATCTAATGCGTAACTTCGTCACATGAATTGGTACATGTGACATGATATTATGGTAGATTTGGATCCCATTTGGATCCAAATTGTGGGAATTTTAGAAATCCTCACATCTTAGTCATTTATCGTGCGTCATGCATCGTACAGTCAGAAACCATTTCACCTTTTTTATTTAAAACTAAACACAAATAGTACCTGACGAAATATGATTGCACAATATACGATGAACGGCTAGAATGTGAAGATCCTCAGAAAGTAGATCCGGAGGGAATCCTCTTCCGAAATCATCATCCCATCACATCGAAGTACGTAAGTTTTATGGCCAATCAATATATACTGCATGTCTTCGACTCGGTTTGAAAAATGTTGTACATTAATACAAAGTGACATACCCAGCCATACAATAGAGAAAAATGATGGCTTCCTTATTTGCGGTCAAAACAAAAGTAAAATTATATTTTAATGAGTATTACGAAATGTACTATATGTAATAACCAATCACATACGTGATAAATAAGAGTGATAGACTCGTCGATTGATATGTACACAATCATTATAGATCATATATTCTTCTTACGTCTCTACATAATCATTGACGGGACAATTAATCTCCTTACATCTTTATTTTTTGCCTACAAGTTAAAGCACTGTAGTTGACAACACGAATCAAAATGTTGTAGCTAAACCAGGCATTGCTAATATCTTCTAATCTTGAGATGCTATTGTTCCATTAATAGCTTAGAGACCCTTACAATCAATATAGTAAAACATACACAACATAAATGTATAGGATGTCGTTTCCTAGCTTCCTCTAACTTCTACTTTATCCTAAAAGATAAACGCTAGGGCATAGCTATAGTCTCAATCTTTCATTCTCTTGGTGTAAAAGTGGGTGTGTGTGTGTGTATGTATGTATGTATATATATGTAGGCCCTTTATGCAAAATGATCCTTATTTTTTGAAAAAAATAAATAGGGATTAGGTGTGGGGCTCACTTCACATCGAACTTTAACGATCTGAACTGTCTATTTTGTAAGTCTTGTTTTATAGATCATTCTTACAAAAATTCAATTCAATCTGAAAACCATTTGCCTATTTAATTATCAAGATAAAATTTTATTGTTTCTTGTATAACAAGGTATTCGTTAATTTTTTTGAACTCAATTAGATGTCTTAAATATTTACGATTTGGCTAATGCTTTGCAAGGATGATATATGAGGTGCAACTTGAAAAATAGATGGTTTGGATCGTTAAAGTTTGATGTGGTATGGACTCCACAACTAATCCCCATTTTTATAAAAAAAAAAAAAATGGAGATCTCTTCCCTTAAAGGTTTGCCATATAGATATATATAGCTATACAAAACCTAGTTATATATGGTTGAGTTGGTAAATATTGTTCTATTTGTTAGACTAAGATTTATGTTCGAGTCCCGCTGCCAGCAATCCCTCTTAGTGGGCTATCTGTAAAATATCAAAAAAGGGACTAAGACCTCTTAAGTCCTTAAAGAAGCTTGTAGTATGCCCTGGCCCTGAAATAGGGTATTTTCCCCTCCCCTAAACTTTTAATTACCAAAAAAAAAA